ACTTTCTCTGCTCTGTGAAGAGCTGTGGCCTAGTGGTTGAAGGCTTTAACACTTGCACTCAGATACAGTTTCTCCCCTTCAGAACGTGTGGTTTGTTCCTCAGCGTCCAGGTACTGATTTTGAATGTCTAGCCAGTTATTTTGTTTCAGAGTGTAAAATCGAGCTTATTTCAGCCAGAAATTATCTGTGTGACTCAGTATTTGAAAACTGTCACTGGAGAAGGTACCAGTCTGGAAGCACCCATTACCTGTGTTGCTGTGGTGGCAGCTGCTTTTATGATACTGTTGGCTTCCAAGTCAGTTCAGAGTCTGGGATGAGAATTGTGTTGCAAAAGAGTCATCTATTCCTTTCTCACTCTGAGATTAGGATAGTAAGATATTTGCTTGAGACTTCTAGAAATCTAAATAGGAAAGAAGGACACAATTAAGGAAGATGAATGGAGGTTGCCCAAGACTGCACAGGTGGTCAGTATTAGGATACGATTCTGAAATGGCAGATACTGATTCAGTCACTATCTTGATGTGATGAAACATGAGCTGGTCAGCAACTCTGCCATTTTCTGGTTTTATCTCCTTAGAATAGTGGCTATATTGTGTGTCCACTGCTCTTATATATAATACTGTACAAATTTGGTACCATGTGGCAGAAGAGATTATCCACTTGGTCTAAGCTGTAGGTTTCCCTTTTTCGTTTTAAAAATGTTTTAACAACATTCCTTAATCTTAAATGCATTTCTCAGGCTTTTGAATAAGTTACGTGTTAATTAAATGTTGAAGAACAATGACTGCTTGCTTGTGAATGGACAGCTTTCCTTGGTGAATTCCAGTGCCTGAAGAGCAGCAATGTCAAACCTCTACATGTGGTGAATTCCAGTTAGATGTAACATTCTGCAGGATGGCGAAACTCGTGATCTTTAACTCGCCCTGTATTGTTGTTCAACCTGTGACCAGAAGCCGGGGAGGCATGTGTTCCTCTGTTGGTGGAAACATAAAAGGAGGTGTCCTCCTTGTTTCTTCTTTATCAGTAGAAAGTTAAGTGTTGGCAGGTTTTATTCATCTGAGTGTAAGGTTATAATGTAATACCATTCCCTGCAGGTACTTTGGAGAAGACTTTTTTCCATTTACTTTTGTGTCTGCAAGTGATGTCTGTTTAAATAATGAATAACATTAATATGCACTGTTCCAGTAAATGTAAAGAGTAAATAGATGAGCTGCAAAATAATTTGCAGGTGCTTGCAAGCATTTGTTTTTCTAGACAGTTTGATAGAGAAAAGAAGAATAAAAAAGGCAAGTTGGGCTGGAAACATCCCTGCCTTTGTTGGATTTTAACATCTTAATTTAAGCTGTGATTCCGTTTGCTCTCCAGCTTCCTCCTTCCGGGATGATCAGTTTGACTAGGAGAAGTGACCTAGTTCAGCGTGAGCAGCTGCCCAGTATGGGGGGAAAAATCAGTGGAAGGTGTTGAAACACGAAGTGCCTTACACCAGAGTGTCTCGTAAACACTGTATCCTGAGGCTATTAGTTTTTGCGAGGGCAGGGCTTTTGTTATGCTTAAGTTGTAGCTGTTACAGTTGTAAAAATAACATTTAGCATTTGTTAGGCCACATGTGGTCTTCTGGCTCTTACAGACACCTTTGTGCTTTTGTAGCTCTTTGTTCTTTTACTAAATGGCATCAGTATTAATTAAAAAAAGTTTGCTTATGTTATACAACGTTTTAAATATTTGTGAAATAACATGATTGTGCTAGTTTTGCCCAGAGATCATTAAATTTGGAGAAACTGAAGAGCTGGATTTGTGAGCATTTGCACTGCTGACAGGAAGAAGGATTTGGGAGAGCAGTTGTCTCTTCTCTGTTTTCTTTGAAAGTTGTCATGAAGCTGGAAGAAAATTTAAGTATCAGAATGTGATAAAAAGCAGGGCCCCCTGCCTTGGCTTTCTGACAGGAATTTATCATAAACTTCATTTTTATGGTCTTTTAAGATTTTTGTTTGTTTGTTTTCTTTTGAAGCTTGAGAAAACTTGGCTCGACTCAGTAATGGAACTTTGAGCGACCTGACCTCCAAGACTGATTTGACAGGGCTGTATTTTACTGGAATGCCATTTCAGCAGTGTGCATTGCTACTTCAGTTATGCTGGCACAATTCTTTGAAGGAGCTGTGCAGTGCAAGTGGTTGAGAAAGTAATCTAGATGGAAGATAGTTGGGGGGGAGAGAATAGCTTTGTGCAGAGAGGTAGGGGCAGTGAATTGGGAGTAAGAGGACATTTGTAGATTGTTTATGCTGGCAGTGACTAAAAGATGGGCTGACTACATTTTTTTTTCTGTTTTGAACGTGGACCTGTCCTCACATCTCGGGTGTCATCAGGTGCAGGACAGAGCTTTGGGTGTGTTTCTTTCAATGGCTAGTTCAGTTGAGCTACTTAACATGATGAGAAGAGGCAAAAATAATCCTGTTCCAGATTTCAGCACTGGTGGGCAGAATCTTCTGAAATGCTGCTCTGTGTGAATGTTGGAAACGAAGTGATTCCTCTGAGTCAGCTCAGCTGGCGTAACTCTTCAGGAAACAAAATTGCCCCTTTTTTAAGGCGGTGCAGATGGATGGTGCAATGCTATGAGAATTGAGTTTTTTTAATTGCTGCTGTTTAGAAACTGGCAGATAGTAATGCGTACTTTCGTCAAGAGTAATTTCATCTGGTACTTTGTGGGTACAGTTGCTTGGATGGTCAGAAGCAGTACTAGAGATATGAACTAAATTTATAGATGGTAAGAGAAGACCTTAAAAATAAGAACTGTGTAAGGAGGAAGGGAATAATGTGGCTCTACAAAGCTGCTAGTTGATGTGGTATAAAGCTAAAACTGCTTTAAGAAGTTTTCAGAATGCACCTTAGCGGAAATTCTGTTGCTCGGCTAATGTTCAGGGTGGCCTGCTCCACAGTGCTGGGGTCACTGCTGGTGGGTTGGGGAGTGCCGCTGTGCTTCTAGCTCAGCGTACTTCCAGGCTCTCGGTCATTGGCCTGCTTTCCCGCGCTGCATTGCACTGAAAGCCTCTCCGAGCAGCATAATCTGCTCTGTTGCTGGAGAAACAGATTTAGTGTCTGTTGCTTTTTTTTTATGTTCTTCCTCAGGATACTGTTCTGTACAGGATACTGTCATTGTACTGAGCATTGGTGTGTGATGTCCTGTTTGTTGTCCTCTCTGAAAGCAGCTTCAGCACCCATTCCTATTGAAAGATGTTGCTGTCCCAAAGTACTGTAAATGAAACAGATGTGGAAATGGTCATTTCATTCTGGTGTTGCCAAACAGTCTTCCCCCAAGAAGTGTTATGTCTGGACTCATACACCAAGGGAGACTGCAGTGTATCAGTCTACCTTTGAGACTTATCTTTTTAACTGCAGGTGTACATTTTTTTTGAAGAGTGAAATTGTAACTGATGTGTTGGTTGCTGCAGGGCGGCAGCTGGCAGCAGGAAGAATGCTGTTTTCAAGCTCTGAAAACAGCACAGTGTCTTTCTTTTATCTGTGTGATGTGCTATACATTCATAAGCTCTCTGGGGGAGGATAGGTTTACTTCAGCTACATTTTTGTGGTACGTGGAACTGTAGATAGCAGATTACTGATTTGAGTGCCATAGGCAGTTGTGAATCACAAAAAAAATCCCAATACCAAATAGAAAGGAAGCGTTAGCAGGAAGTGGTATTAGTAAAAGTGCTTGTGATACTTGCTTCCATGTGTATTTTAATGAACTGCTGCTGGTACATGTGAGCTAAACTTTTTATTACCTTCTCTGCAATGGTGCGCCTTGTGAGTAGTGTATAGTGTTGCAGGTAAGTGGGCTTGGGAGTTCCTTGAGAGTAAGATGTAATTTTTTTTGTTTGTGTTTCTTTCTTAAACAAACAAAAAACCCAAACAACCCAGACATATATTCCTAGCAGCCTGTTACTTTGCCCTTATTAGGATTGTATCTTTGTGGACTAAGTTCTGGTTCTTGAAGTCCTGTCTACCTTTTTTTCTGAATTAATTTGACTGTAAAACATAGGAATATACTTGTCTGAAGATAAATGTCTCTACTTTAGTTGATGAAAAAGCACGATGCAAAATGAAAACAAGTTCTAGTATATTATCTTCTACAGTAGCATTTGGTGCTTGTCCATTTTGGAAGACTGGAGAGGAGTACTGTATACTGCTGTTCTGGTAGAAATGATAAGATCTTGGTAATAAGGAGAAGTGCTAATGTTCTGTAGCTAATGAACAGATTTCAGTTAATGGAAATGTTTTATTTTTACTTAAATTCCAATTTAGTTATGAATTATGCATCAGGCAGTTATGACTTATTAGTAGATGTTATGTCAGTCAAGTTTTCTGGAATCTGGGCATTACATAAGCTTTAAAAAATGTTGAATCCTCTATGTTGGAGTGTACTCCATTACTTAAACTCATTAAAAAAACTAATTTATTAAAAATGTCCATGCAGACTTTGTATATGTGCTGGTTTATGTGTTAAAGTTGAGTTACGGTTTAAAGTAATAATAATAAGTACATACAAATTGGACAGTGTTCTTAAGGTGGCCAGCTTTCATCCATGCACAACATACTAGGAGAAGTTTTGGAAATTATTTTGTAGTAAGGCAAGTATAATCAAGCACTTTATGTAGTCTTTAACAACCTTTAATCAACTTCTGCGGATTCTGTGTAACCAACTTAAATTTTTTTTTCCCTGGCAGTGGTGTTAGTGACATGTTTATATAATCCAGCTGTGGGAATGTAGATGCTTTTAGTGGTAGCAAGCACAGTCTATCTTTAATCCCTTGATTGCCTTGTATTGACACTTTTCATACTGTGACTCTGTTCAGTTATATCATTAAAATACATTACATGTAGCTTTGTTCTTATGTATTTAGTTGCTGAAGATGAAATGAAAATCACATTTGAAGAACTGTATAAAAAAACCAGAGCTTGTTTTGTTTCTTTTTCTGTGCCTCACCTCCTCTTCATTTTCTCTTCAGGTCAGAGCGCCAGATGCAGTACACACCACTGTATCTGCTGATACACATGTAAGTCCAAAATATTTAAAAACAACAACAATAAAAACCTAAACAAAAAAATCCAGCCAAACCCACAAGCTCAAGATAGGCCTGTTCTCTAAAGAGATCTACTAGTTGCAGGCAGACCAGTGTGTTGGGTATCTAATCTGTAGGTGTTTGTAAATGAACTGTTGGTTTTCATGTTTAGAAATGCGCCTTAAAACTAGTGTGGGAAGCTCTACTGCACGGTATTGCATTCATAATAGATAGTTCAACGGCAAGAAGCTGCAAGGGCTCTCTATATGTTTATCTTTTATACCAAGGAATAGCTCAAAACACGAGGTGATCAGTCATGAGTCACCATATATTACACTATTTAAGTGACATTTTGTATACAGTTGTCTTCTCAAAAGTGAGATAGCGTGGCCCTAACTTCATCCTTTATTTTTCTTTCTAATAAAATATACTTAAATCAAAAGGTAAGAATAATTACCTAGTTGTGTCTGTCTCCCATCCCCCCCCCAACAGAAGAGACCTTTGCCTGGTCATGTGGTTGGTATGCTCCTTGAAGGCCTACCTGTTTCTGAGCTGAAATGAAAACGGGCAGCAAGAGCCAAACAGAGCGTTAATACAGGACAATTCATCCTGTGGTTTAGATTTCTCTTCAAGATTCCAATTCGATTTTGTATATGAAAAAGTCAGTTACCAGCTGTTAAGTTGCTTGTAAGATAGCAGTATTCAAGTTGTGATAGCAGAAATTTTTCATAAAGAAGTAGGTCTTTTACTTGCTACAGTTTGGAAAATACTCTTAAATCTCTTGAATATTTTGTGTTCTCAACGGAACTGGGACGTCAGTACTTTGTGCCCTCTTACAGTTAATGCAGTGTTATGTTTCATGGGATTTTGCTTTCATACAGTGATTTGATCACTCGGCTAGAGGTTTTCGCTTTGCTCCCATCAATTGCTTTACCTTTTTCACTGTATAATTTTCCAGTTTTGAAGGAGGAAGGCCTTCAAGGTTTTTTTAGTTTTGTTGTCAGGAATTCTGTGAAGCTACATACAGTTAGCAATGATGATTGCCTACTGGAATGTAAATAGCAGGCATAAATTAGTTCAATCCTGTTAACTTTATATTGCTCCAAACACTTTGAAGGTGTGGTGTGGAGTTGGTGTAGGTTTTTTTTGTTGGTGTGTTTGTTGGGTTTTTTTTTTTGCCCCCTGAGACCCTTTCTAAACTGAGGAAATCTTAGTGCCGGAACTCTTGATGTCTTACAGCTGCTTCCCTTATGTCACTAGAACATACCTGCAGGTCAGCCACATGCATATATTCTGTAATGTTACTGTGAGAGAGTATTTCCTGATGACAGGATAAGCCTTGGGTAGGAATGTGGTGTTCCTTTCGTCTGCATTGCTGTGCCATAGCAATATGCGCACGTTTTGCCAAGCTTGTATATTGTTTGTCCTACTGAGATACAAGCTGTCTTTCAGACCACAGGAAAACTGGATTTCATTAACTTTAAAAACACACAGATGCATGAAAAGCTCTTGATAAACCTGTCGCAGCAGCTCATGTTGACAAACATAGTGTCATAAACCAGATAGCTCCACAGACAATGCTGTGTTAATTTGTAACTGGTAGTTTTCCTTCTAATGATGAAGCAGGGGACATCTTTTAAAGAAATGTGAGCTATTTTGGTCATATGCTTGGCACAGATCTAAGACGTATTTGTGGTACTAAACAAGAATCATAAATTTTTCAAGGAGTTGTTTTTCACAGTGCTTTTACATATGTAAAAAATTCTGAATAGGAACTTGATAGTAGAAATAAAACCCTTTACAAAGGAAATTATTCCTAGAGGAATCTCTTTTTGCAGTTGGCATCTGAAATTTTTTAATAATACAGCAGTTTTCACCTTGTTTGTCTTGATGTTTTATTAAATTGAGATGATTAAAAAAAAAAACCTGTCATTGCAACAGTGGTAGTTTTAAGCATCACTGTATAAGAACATCCAAAATATTTTTATGATAAAGGCTAATAGCTAATGTTTTGGACTTCTGGGGCTTCTTTCCTTGTTCTTGTGCTGATTCTTTATGATTTACTGTGTTAAGCTAGGAGTTTCTGGAGAATTTTCTTACCTTTTTCTCTCCTTTCCTTCCTATTGCCCATGTCTTTTGAACATCGTCTTCATCCTGTTGTCTTTCCTCTCTCAATGCTTCACTGTCTGTGAACTACCTAAATAGAAACTTAAGAGTTCTAATTCCATACTCAAAAAATGACTGTTACATGAAGTCCTTCCTTTATCATGGTTTCAAGAAGGGAGGAATGGAGGTTAAATTACCTAAAATAGAAAGAATCTAGGAGCTAAATGTGCCTAGTGATGAAAAAGGAACGGTAATGCAAAGCATGTATTTCCAAAGGCTTAGAAACTGTGTTGCTTAGTGGTAAGATCTCTAGGGTCTTACAGCAAGTACCCTTCAGATTTCAGCTGTGTTTGCATGGTCTATTAATGAAGGACGATTTGTTTTTTAAAAAAGATAGATTTAAATTTTCTGGTTGTATTAGATAATGCCAAGTTCAGAAAGTAGTACAGGAAGCTGTTTTGTTTAGGTTAAGTCACTTGAGGTAGAAAGTTTCTGATCTAGAACAAGGTCAAGAATAGCTGTGGTTTTTTTTTTTTCCTTGTAAACAGTTTAATGTTTGTTTTCTTAACTCTTCTTGTAGCCTGTAACGGAAAGCAAACTTAAAGCTTTCAGTATTGGTAAAATGAGTGCTGCCAAACGGACTCTGAGCAAGAAGGAGCAGGAAGAATTAAAAAAGAAGGTAATGGTATAAAATAACAGTTTTATTTTGTATGCAGAGCTGAAATAAGTTAGCTTTCAGATTGCAACCAGCTTTATCGCCAAATTCCTTCATTTTGATAATTGTAACTTTCTAAGAATGAAAGTGAATTGTATTTTACATGTGCAACTTGTTCTTGGCATTTTAGCTTGCTTCTCTCTCCTGTGTGAGAAATCAAGTTCTCTGGCTTCCTGAAATACTGAATTATGACAATGCATTGATTGTTGTGTTGCTCAAAATGAAGACAGCCATCACCTTAGGTTATTGTCTGTTCTTCATTTGCTCTGTATCATTGGGTAGAGTAATTAGAGTACCTATCTCTGAAATTGTTTCAGTACGCATCCTTGTTATTCTGTAAAACACATTTTTGTCTGATGACTTCTTTTGGAATTAATAGAAACATCAAAATTTGGTACTGAATTTTAGGATATTCAGGAGCATCCAAATTTTAGGAAATATGTAGCTTATAGTTGGTAAGGTGGAAGTTTTGAAAATTGTGGCCTTTGAATTTTACACTCACAACTCTTAATATATTTCAGTGGGTTATCTCCTAGGCTCTAGGGAGTACTAGCTTAAAGAAACATGGTAGTGCTAAATTTAGTTTCTCACCCAACTTTAAGTCACTGAATTAACAACTCTGGGAAAAGCATGAAGGTGAGCCTGTTAGTCTCCTTCAGTCACATGGGTTGATTGTGATGGGTAAGATGGGATATGTACTGTTCCCTGATGCTCAGGTCAACAAAGCTCTAGTCTCATAGTGCTGGTCTTTCATATGATCTTTTCTATTTGGCATCTCCTGAATGTTAAATTGCCATGTAAACTCTAGTAAATAAACTGTCATATTTGAGCATACAGGCCTCAGTTTGCTTTATGTATTACGTGCTGTCTTCTTACCACAGTTCTCAGAAATGTGAATTCTTCTGTCTAAAATTGAAACTGACTTGGTGCAGTTCATAGCATGAACTCTAGAAAATAAAAAGGAAAGTCATAGCTAATTTAAGAATAGCTGCCTAGTGAAGGTTGTTCTGTGATGATAGTAAATAGATCAACATTTGCTGTGTAGGAGGATGAGAAGGCTGCTGCAGAAATTTATGAAGAATTCCTTGCTGCCTTTGAAGGAAGTGATGGTAATAAAGTGAAAACATTTGTAAGAGGAGGAATCGTTAATGCATCTAAAGGTATAACAAACCTTTTTTTGGCAGGGGGTGGGGGGATGAGGGCAATCATTTGGCTTTTTGGTAAAGATTAAGATTGTTTTTCAATTACGTTTAGAACTTAATATGTTGCATTAGACGCGGTGAAGGAAACTTGATGTTTAAAGTCTGTGCTTTGACTCACTAGGTAGTTGGTGTGGTTTGTCTTTTAAATTTCAGACAAAAAAAAACCCTTTTGTTTTAAAATACCTGATCTTTGGAGGGGGACTTTTTAAAAGGGCCTGTAGTGACAGGACAAGGGGTAACAGGTCTAAATTGAAAACAGGGAGATTTAGATTGGATATCAGGAAGAAGCTCGTCCTGGAGAGGGTGGGGAGGCACTCGAACAGGTTGCCCAGAGAAGCTGTGGATGCCCCATCCCTGGGAGGGTCCAAGGCCAGGCTGGATGAGGCTTGGAGCAACCTGGTCTAGTGGAAGGTGTCCCTGCCCATGGCAGGGGGCTTGGAACTAGATGATCTTTAAGGTCCCTTCCAACCCAAACCATTTTATGATTCTATAATTCTATGATTTGGTTTTTAGCTTCATATCAAAAGATGTTTAATTACGTAACATTTGTATTAGCAGTTCTTAAGAATGAAGTAATACATTGAGTTGATTGAACAAGAGTAAAGAACAGCATTCTCTAATGAACAGTATTGTGTGGCGTTAGTTAATATAATTTGGTTTTAATTTGCCCTTGATTTCAGAGGAGCACGAAACAGATGAAAAACGGGGTAAAATCTATAAGCCTTCATCACGATTTTCAGATCAAAAAAATCAACCAAGCCAGCCATCTAATGAGAAGCCTCCATCCCTCTTAATGATAGAAACCAAAAAGCCTGTAAGTTTCTTTCTTGAATATTAACCCTGTATTTAGGAAGTATTTTGAAGTGCTTAGAAAAAGCCTACCCTACTCGCAGGGTCGTTTTATCACATACTAAAAGAAGATGGAAATTTTTACTTGCTTAATTCTGTAGTAAGTAACAAGATGATACAATGCAGAGCTTCAGTAGCCCTGTGTCCAGCACGATATATCAAGTAAAAACAGCAGCCAGATCAAAGTGCAGTACTGTGTTTCTGGTAATTTAGACAAGACTTGTCATGAATACGGATTTAGTGACTGTTGCAAAGTAACAGGATCTCCAGTCCTGAGAGTTTGTGACATTTCAGAAGCGATACTTCTTGCTGCCATCTGGTTTTAGCTTTTTATAACTTAAGAAAACAAACCAAGACCTTGTGTTAATCCATCCAGGTTTTTCATGGTGAGTTTTTTTTGATGTTTGAGAAGACCCTTTAATGCAGCTCTTTGAGTTACACTAAATAAGTTTTAGAACTTGCACATTTTTGAAGCTGAACACCTTTTTATTTAATTAATTTTGACTTCTGTATGGTTTAATACTTTTTTTTTAATTCTTGAACTGAGATTTCTTCATAAAAAGTAATGGAATTAGTATGAACAGTGTTCAAGTGATAGTGACGTATGATTACTGTTATTAGTGTTTGTGTGTAATGTGTAATTAATGTCTTGGACATTTTTTAGAAGTGTTTTAATAGAGTGTACTGCACTTTTCAAGCTTAAGTGTAGTAATGTAGTACATCATACTGCCTGTTAGGGTGGGAAATGAGATGTAATGTGATAATTGGGGGTAATCCCATCCTAGCTTCCCTTCAGTTTGAAACAAAACTCAGATTTAGACCAGTGGGGTAATACTGGATGGCGGTTTTGATTTTCATTGTATGTAAAGCTCTACAGTTACAGAAATGAATTGTAGCATTTTTTTATTATGCCAAGCTCTGTTCTGTCATATGCAAGTATTTGTACTGTAAGAATATTACTGCTTTTCAAATTTGTCATAAATACTTATCAAGTAATGCAATCAGTTTACTCACTTGCACTGTCCAATGGTGATTGAAGATAATGAGGTAAAAATGATTTTATTTATTTGGCAGACTCTCCCTAAAACCAAAAACAAACAAACAACTATGCCTGGGGTGAGTAGGAAGTCCAGTTTTTCCAAAGCTGTAGTGTGTAACACAATAAATATTCTGTATGTCTGCCTATTGGAAATGTTTTCATTTGAGTTTGGTTGTATAAAAGCAATGTTCTTGAAGATAAGAATTCACATGAGTGAGTTAGGGTGCATATATTACAGTAAAAAAAAACGTGTTACAATATCCATGTTCTTTGTCATTTAAGTGTTTTTTTTTTTTTCTGAGGATCTTGAACTATTCAGAGTAACTGTTTCTTCAGACCTGTATTTATGTATGGAAGGAAGTGAGAGAGAAATTCTCTTCACATAGAATGTTTGTCTGTGGATAAAATAATTGAATATATATGTAAAATAATTTACATACATATGTACAGACATGTCAATTTAATTAGAGCATGAGTGTTTGCTAGGGTTGTAGTCAGCTTCTCAGTTCTTAAGTGGAACAGACTAACAAAATACATCACAGATATTGTAAACTTGTATGTTGTAACACACGTTGCATTGTAATAATGAGAAATAACAAAATTTAGTTTAATCTAGCCTTAGTTTTATATTTTCTAGCTTTGTGTTTGATAGCACTCAGTCTTAAGGTTTTCAGGTCTGTTTGTATTTTCTTTTTACCTCCTGTAGTTTAGTTGGTTTGAAAGCTGTGGGTAAAATATGCATGGAAATTATCTAAGATTTTGTTATATGCATATAACTTTTAGTTTTGTTTCATTTTATCTGCTGAAATGTTGACTGATATATCTTTAATTTTAGCCTTTGAAGAAAGGAGAGAAGGAAAAGAAGAAGAGTAATTTGGAACTTTTTAAAGAAGAATTAAAGCAGTAAGTTTGACTAGTTTTTACTGTAATTAAAGAAGATGGAAGTTTACACCTTGGTTTTATAGGCAATATGTAGGATCATTCTTGCTGAGCTGTTTGCCAAAGTAGGTTTTTGGTTGTGTCTGTGTCTCCCCCCTCCAGTTGACTTAATTAACAATAGCAATGATAATTAAACATAGTATGAACCTGTGTTGGTAGATGATTGTGATAGGTGTCTGTAATTTGTCTGGATAATCAGTTGCCATCTAATTAGTTCTCTAGTGTTCCTTGGTGCTTCTGCTCTTTCTTATGCTGATTGGTGATAGGGAGTCCTTGCCACTATTGCTGAAAACTTTCTATTTTGAAATCTAGCATCGACAAAAGGCTTTAAAATTATATGAAAAAATCCAAAAAAAGCCTGGTATGCTGGCTTAAATCTTTGCCTGTTGAAATGAATGGATTTCTTTGCATGTCAGAGATGTTTGGTTGTGACCTTTGAAACAGTTCAGAACTTCCTTCCTAAATAGACAAATGTCCAGAGCAGTTAACAACAACAACAAAAATATTACATATAAATGCATAAAGTATTTCAGAGATCCCAGTAAGTGAATGACTGGCTACGTTTCCAAAGCTCCCCAAGATGATTTTTGGATCAGTTAGGTGTGAGTAGAAGCTTTGATGATTGAATCAATCAGCTCTACCAGGATAAAGAATGGAAACCTAGGCTTGTTTCTTTGACAGCTGCTGTCAGTATGTTACTGACACATGGAACTTGGGATGCAATTCCATTATAAGTTATCAAGTGTAAGACTGTAAATGAGAACGCGTTTTAACATAGTTTCATGTGTTGTTACAGTTAGTGAAGACATAGCAAGACAAGTAGATACTGTAATAGATGAGAATGTTCAAGTTTTTGGTGCTGGTTGACTTTTCTCTTTACGGGGATGTAGTAAAGAGATTGGTAGCAAAATGAAATGTGTATCAGACTGGGGAAGAATAAGAAATTTTGTCAGCGTCTCTAAAACTATATCCAGAGGAATTGTAGTATGAGGTTGAGCTTTTGTGTTAATGCAGAAGTAAGACTAGTAATTACAGTTTAGAGATGTACTTCAGCGTGCATAACTTTCAAAACTAGCTGAATAATGCTTCAAAAAGCAGATTCTTTCACTTTTTAATGTGTGATATGAGAGAAAGAGCAGCATGTGTATTGAGTGTAACTGAGTGTCATATATTTGGTCTGATGTCAGAGATGGAAACCAAAATGATCTGTGTGCATTGGAAAACAATACGTACTCTATTATAAATCCATAAATGCCTCTTGAGTAGTGTCTGAACTCCACTGCTGTCTGTTCATTAGTTGATGTAAATGAATTGAATTGACAGCCTTAGATTCCTGGTACACAGTGTCTTTGTACCAGGATTTAAGGCCAAACTGCAAAGAACCAAGGTTACTTGTATGGGTACTATCACTGGAGGTATAAACTGAGTTGAAGTCTTGTATGTTCTGGAAGTGGTCATGTGGGAGTGTCTGGTCACCCCACAAGGTGACAGCCCACACGAATAAGGCTTAGAAAAGGTAGGAGGAGAAACAGACCCTAAGGACTTGTGTGCATCTTGAAGAGTCATCTGAACAGCCAGTAGAGCTCTGGCAGCTGGATGTGGAATTTGGATCACTTTTTCAGAGCACAGTTCTTATTTCTGGTTTTGTAAATTGATTCTTAGCCTAAGTCAATTCTGTTTGAGATAAAAGGACCTTGGCAGTATGAATGAGGAAGCATGCAGCTGATGGATATATTTCAGTTGATTAAACAGAAATTCAAACATATTGACAATTTGAAGTTCTTAATAAGCCAGTTGTTAATTTAGAAATATGAACATTTTTAATTTTCAAGTTAATTGAAAATTTTTAGAATAAAAACCCCAAAATAGTATTAAGTTGTTGCTAACATGTTTTGTAGAATACAAGAGGAGCGTGATGAAAGACATAAAACAAAAGGTAGATTGAGTCGTTTTGAACCACCCCAGTCAGATTCAGATGGCCAACGTCGTTCAAGTAAGTAGATTTTATTTTTTATGTTTGTTTCGGCTACAGAATTTGTAGACTAAGTTATTTTTTTTTCTGTTTATTTAGTGGATGCTCCTTCAAGAAGAAACAGATCATCTGGTGGTAATATAGATTCTTTTCTCATTCAATATAATGTCACTTAAATGCATAACAAGGATTATGACTTTTTTCCTTTTTCCTCAATCATTGTAGTACTGGATGATTATGCACCAGGGTCACATGATGTTGGAGATCCAAGCACAACAAATTTGTACCTTGGAAATATTAATCCTCAAGTAAGTTTGGAGCCAAGGAGTGCAGTGCATCGTTGATATGTTTGGGTCTAGCTGAATTTTTTTCAGTGGCAGTTTCCTCCCCTTTTTATTTTAAACCATACATGTGTTTAAACCCATATACTAGGGCAGTTGGTGACTGTAGAGGCAGTGTTCATTTGAACAAACGCTCAGTAAGTGATGCTGCAAAAGTTCGGCCTCAGACTATCAGTCACTAGATGCAAAAATGCTCCATTAAAATTACTTTTAACTGCAGGATCTGTGCAATGTGGATCATATCTCAGAAATCTGAGTGTGCTCAGTTTAAAATGCAATTTTGAAAATTGCTGGTTTTGCAGTAGACTGCATTGGGAAGGTATCAATGAAGTGTTTTTTAAAAAAATCAAAAACCAAAAGCTTTGACATTTGGACAATAATACGAGTGAGTGTCTTAGAAATACAAATGCAAGATGCTAATTTTTACCTTTTTTTGTGTAGATGAATGAAGAGATGTTATGTCAAGAATTTGGACGCTTTGGACCATTAGCGAGTGTTAAAATTATGTGGCCAAGAACTGATGAAGAAAGAGCAAGAGAAAGAAATTGTGGCTTTGTTGCCTTTATGAACAGGAGAGATGCGGAAAGAGCACTAAAGAATTTAAATGGTAAACAGATATCTCTGTTTGGAATTGTGGTTATCTGTGTAGGAACGTTGAGGTGTAACTGTAAGCATATATTCAAGTTGTTTTTATAAGACTAGTGGTAGATGTACTGTCACTTCAGTAGAACCACGCTGGCAGGGATTTTAGTTTACACTGACTGCTGGCAGCTGAGTGTCACCAAACTGTAGCATACACAAGGGCTAGGAATACTGGTGGCTGTTGCTGTGAGTAAAGATGTAGATGTAGAAATTCTTAGAGCAGGAGGTAATGTTTGACAATCTCTCCTCTGTAAACACACAATTTTGGGAAGGAATCCCTTACCTGTAGTTGTTTAACAACAATATTCTTTTTTGTGTGTGAATAAATTTAACTAGTAGACAGAATATGATCAATAACTGGTTATAAATATGTTCTTTGTATAACTGTAAATTCCTAATACTGAAGAGGTAACTATTACAACAGACATGTAATTTTGCATATGGACTCTCTTGTTTTCTGTTGACTGGGGACTGGGCAGGGGGGATGTGGAATCTTACGTGATGAAGAAAGCTATGTCCTTACTGTTCAGGAAGAGCCTGAAAATCAAAAATCAGCATCCTTAACAAAAAGAATAAGCAATGAAAGGTTGCCCTTGCATAGCTTACTGAAAATGGTCCTTTAGTTAGGACTGTTAGTAAGTAGGTTTACAGTGTGTGGGAGTTCTAATTGGTCATTGACATTGACTGAATTGACATTCAGTCATGAATAACATAGTTTGACATTTCCTGTTATGAGCAAAACATTTTGAAGAATTGAAGTGCAGAAATAATAAATTAAAAAATTACTCTATTCTGATGTGCTGAGTATCAAAAGTTTTAAGTTCTCAGCTCTCCCTGCCCCACCCTGGCAATTGAAGTAATTGTGTATGGCGCTTTCCTGAAAATGTACATTGGGGGAAGATTAGTAAAATATTTCGTGCAATAGGCTTTCACATGCATATGATATAGTCTGATAGATGCGATACACTAATCACCAGTGTAAGCAAAAAGTAAACCATGGCAGGCAAACCTCAATGCTGCACCTGCATGGAGAAATCTTGAGCGATGCAGAACCAATTTATAACAGAATGGTGAGGGTCTTTTGTTTTTATTTTTTCAGGCAAGATGATTATGTCATTTGAAATGAAGCTCGGCTGGGGCAAAGCTGTACCTATACCACCACATCCAATATACATTCCGCCTTCTATGATGGAGCATACCCTCCCGCCTCCTCCATCAGGACTGCCTTTTAATGCCCAGCCCAGGGAGAGATTGAAGAATCCTAATGCTCCGATGTTACCACCACCAAAAAACAAGGAAGATTTTGAGAAGGTAACTTAACAGTACCCTGGGCCATATCTCATTGCTAAATACTACATCTGTGACAGTATTTCAGTGGCTTCATAGAGTTGCATTGTTGAGGCTGACTTTGGCGGCCCTTAGTGTACAAACTCACTGGCTCCCTGCTCTAGCCCAAGGGAACCTATTTAATTCCTCAAGCTCTGTTTCATGTCTGTGTTAGGGCAAAGTCTATTTGGCCTTGATTTATTTTAGTGCTGCTTTAAATCTGGCTATCATTTTCCCCCTCCAGGCTCCCTGGATTTTTTTCTCCTACGTCCCCCCCTTTTGTTGGCTGCCAAATTGCAGTATCTAAATTGTTTCCTTTAGAGAAAATACTACTAATTTGGGTAGCATTATTTTTACACTAGAGGACTTGATGTATTTTGTGTAGAAGGTAATTAATCTGGACATTGAGTAAGTATTTTAAGCTATTTATGGAGTCAGTTTTCAAACTTTTTTTTTGGGAATGTTAGCTGATAAAAAGGGTAAGTATCTTGTAATCACAAGCCATCTTGATTTACATTTGTAAGAATTTGTTGATTCTTTGAATGACACTTAAATGTTAGGGCTGTTTTTTGTAAGACTTGGGCATAAAGTAATACCAGCATGATCCAAGTCAAATAGTTTAGAATCTCTTCATAAATTTAAGAACTCCTTAATTATATTCAGCTTAGTACCTATTCAGTGCATCAATGTACATTCTGACAGGAATGTTCTGATATTTTGCAATTAGTGAACCTTTATGGTTCACGGACACAACCATTTGCATTTTGTGTAATTGCTTAATTATAACTTCACAGCAGTGATTGCCTGCAAAACTTGTGATAGATGTGTAGTATTTTCATTGCATATGTATATTTTTGCTTGTTACTTGTTAACAATACTCACATATTCTATGTTTATTATCTGATGTGACTTCATATACAGACTCTGTCGCAAGCCATAGTCAAAGTGGTTATCCCAACAGAAAGGTACATGTTTTTCTTTATTATTACTGATCTAAATATAGAAAATTTCCCCTTCGGAATTTTAAAGAAAAATGGTCATGTTGAGGAAGAGGTAATGGCTTGACTGAGCAATGGTTCTTTCGTGACACTTGAGAGAAATGTGTGTGTTACAGTCTTCATATCCTTAAACCTATCCTAAGTAAAAGAAGTTAGTGAGTGGTTCTCTTTTGCATTGAACTTGAGGAGTAGAAATAGTTACAGAGAGGTGAAATTACCCACTGAACACTAGGGTGAAATAGCTTAGCTTAGGGACACTGTGTGACTCCTCATACAAACCTCCAGGTACCTCATAGTGAGGGTGCAGCTGTCTCCAGTGTGGTGCTGTGGGTTTTTTTTTCCTTTCCTTTTTCTTTTGTCTATTCACTTGAACAGTATGTAACCAATTTGGTAAAAACTCGGTGTTCATTTCTGTTTGGGGTTTGTTTTTTCCCCAGTGTTCGACAGTTAATAATTTTGGTTGCTGAAAAAGGTAGTTCTGTATAGCAAGGGTATTTTTTACATTTTGGTCCCAATCACTGCTCTTGCCTTCACACTCTTCTAGGTGTACTCTTGCTCAGTTAAGCTGAAACCTTTTCCCAAACATAGGAACACGACACTGTTTTTAAAAGTAAATAAGCACAAAACATTACCAAATTCTCTTTGACATTGGCCTTGGTGAGCAACACCAGCTGAACTGTCTGCGGCAGCGGGGGACCAGGAAAACATCATGGGATGGATTGGGAAAGTATACAGTTTTTGACCAGACATTGGTACGATCGGCTCCAATAAATGTGGTTTTATTATAACTGAAATTTTTTTTTGTTGGCTAACTTAAGCTAAATGACATTTTAAAATAATGCACTTAAAACTATCATATTTTTTACTACACTGTTTTAATTGTCACAAAGTCCCTTTTTTTTTTTTGCGTGTGTGTGGCAGAAGAAAGATTTGAGAAGCTAGTTATGGTAGCATATTAACATATTTGTCAATAGATGCTCAAATGCACTAGTATTTTTTAACTGAAGTTTAGGACAGTACAATTTTTATGGGGTAGAGACATTAATAATTAGGACAACCAGGAGTCTTGATCTGAGAAACATATTGAGTAATAGAACAAGTACTTGTAAACCTATAAGGTGCTTACAGAGCAATCAGCTTTCAGAGAAAAATGTGTTTCCATTTTATTTATTGTAGCATTTTGAATGCTCACATGATAAGAAAAGCTCATGTTAATTGGATTGTATTTGAAAATACTTTTATTTTTCCTGATGACTTTCAAAGGTGCTAATGACAGCTGCTCAGACTATTACACAGTCCATCACACTGTACAAAATTTCAGCTGACTTCAGTGGGATAATGATTCAATTATTCTCCTTTATTTGAGAATTTTCAGTATTGGTTTTTAACACCTTCCCTTAGCATTTACTAAGCAGAAAACCTTGAGTACACACCATCAAGTTTTTTTTTCCTGAGCAACTCACTTTGAAGTAGTCATGTCTTGTGTACCAAATGGCATGTAACACTCTCTTTCAGAGACAGGGTGTACTGAATCTTGTTTCATGCATCTGAGGTGCAGATGTTCTTGTTCAAGCATAAGCTGCTCTTATGCAGATTTATTGTACTCGATGAAAGAAAACTACATGGAAACCATTGGCATGGTTCTGCAGGAAGCCAGAAATGATGACATTGAACATGCCTTAAAATAAATGAAAGTTGCAATGGCTCAGAGGCTTGAAAGCTAATTGTAATTTTTTTAGTGATGTTTTTCAAATACAGTTCATACAACAACAGTCTTGCTATTAAGACTTTCAGAACACTGCTTTAAATAAAATGGCTACAGAATTTTTGAGGCTGTGTCCTCTTCATAGTGTTTCTGGGGTTGTAAGAGGCAAACAGGAAAGTTTAGCTGTAGATAGCTATCTGTTTTTTGTGTAAAATTCAAGGCAAATATAGATTTAATGCTAGCTGGTATAAAACAGACTTTTTGCTAAGTTGCAGATGATGGGCAGATTTTTATTATATTTAATTAAGTTGAATTTTTTTTAAGCTAGTGCATTCTATCTGGCAGAATGCTGAATACTCATGGCAGAAAATAATTAACTCATTACTAAGTAATAGAAAATTTTGCAGCTTTTCAATGTAACAATTTTTTAATTTTAATAATTAAAAAGTTGCGAAAAGGAAATCTAATGAGATATATGTAAAGAACCAATATGTTTGTTACATTTAAGAAAATAAATTTAAAAATGGAAGAATCTGGGATTTTTTTGTGTTTTCATGACACTCAAAGGACATATACTGTGAAACTTTTGATATATGTAGGTAATGTATATTTGAAAATTCAAGATCCTGTTTCCAAAAAAACCCCAAAAGGTTGGAAACTGAAGATCATAGTTCTATACAAAGCTTATGTGACTGTCTTCTGTTAGCACACTTATAAGTTGCTCTGCGTTTTCAAATGTGGCTCGAAAAATGCGCACATCGCACCTGCTTCTTGCCTGCCTCAGGATGTAGTGCTGAATGAAACGAATACAACTTTTTATTTTTTTAATTATGATTTGGTTTGCTTGAGTGTATGAGGGAGGAGATATTGGATGGTATGATACAGAATGATGGACAGATTTGTTCTGTGCCAGTAGGTAGTCTTGTCCAAAAAGAGATTACCTAAATCTAATAAAATCATTGCTTGGTTTGGTATCAAGAAGGCTGTTTGCTTTTCCTTTCATACTTGAACAGTTTGAAACCTGAATGCAGTTTCTGTTGAATATTCAGAAGTATATGTCTAATTTTGAGCATCCTATCCAGCCACTTATTCCTCTGTAGAACTTTAGTTTCGGTCCTAGTTCTAGACAATGGAAGATGAGGGCTTAGGTTTGGATAGTTAGTTGTACTTTGGTGTTCAGTTACCCATTTTTATACATAAAGAACGTTAAGCTTCTACTAAGCAAGAGGTGGTTGTAGGCTAAGCTGTGGAAATTCAAGAATGAGATCTCTTAAATTCTTCCTCCACCACTCCTAGGCAGGTTTTTATTTTAGAATGCCTGTGTCTGTGATGCAAGGCTATAATATGTTCCATGTTACCTTATCTTCTGTACAGTTTTCTAAACAATGCAGCCAAATAATCTCCTGCACAGTTGTAGTGTTTTAGGTGGATATAGTTTTATATAGTGTTAGGTCTGAATCAATTTTTCTTTAACTGTGTTGTTGTTGTAGGAATTTGCTCGCTTTGATACATCGAATGATAGAGTTTGTGGTACGGGAAGGGCCTATGTTTGAAGCCATGATCATGAACCGAGAAATCAACAATCCGATGTTCAGGTGCTTATTTTTTGCTTCAGTTTGAAAGAGCGCTGTTTTCACTGTTGCTAATCCTTTGTGTTTCTGAAATACTAATAAGAGTTGTTCTTACTGTGGTTACCTTGATGTGCAGATTTAAATTGTACAAATGCTAATGCTGTCTTTTTATGAAGAAGATAGCACTTTATTCCAGTTACTAATATCTACATGCAAATGAATAAAATACTATATACACACTATAACATACATTTTAACATTAATAAAATATATGTAGTGAAGAAATAAAATTACATTTAATGCCTACTTTTCTGAGGGATTCAAAGTCATCAGTAGCATGCATTAAAAAAACCCAAACAAACAACAAAAAAACAAACAGCAAAAACTCCCCCCAAAAAAAAAAAAAAAACCAAAAAACCCCCCCCCCCCCCCGCAATAGACTAACTCAATGCAAAGTCCAGTCTTCCTGGAGCCTAATTTGTGGCCTTTAGCAAGAGCTGGGAGACATCTTTTTCTCTGATATCAATGCAAATAGGATTAAACTTCAGCTGACATAGTGAAGTGGTCTGAATTTCCAGCTTTTGTCATTAATGAAATAAAAAGGATCAATTTCCAAATTTCTTGTGAATTGCAGTCTCTGGAAAACTTTCAGGGAAATATTTAATGACCTTTTAAAAATGTTTTATTTGCAGTTTGTAAGATTGAACAGCTTTATTTTGATTTTTATATACAGATTAAGAAAATAATGCAGGTCTCAATATCCTGGCCATTAACGGTGGGCTTGGATGGTGGTGGTGGTGTTTTTTGGGCACTGGGGGGTTGTGGGTTTGTGGGGTTTTAAAAAAAATTTTTTTTTACTGCTCATGTCTGAGTGTTCTGACAGACAATTTACTGGTGGAAAACTTCAAGTCATTTAGTATTTGACCTGAGCAACCTAACTGTAGAAGTAGAAGTTCCTGCACCGCTTGTGCTGTGGTTGCAGTGACTCTTCACACTGATGACTTGATTCTTCTGCTTCGCTGTGGGGCTATGTGGTCCTTTTTTCTGACCGTGCTGTGCCTGCGTGGAATTTAGCACTCTGCTTTTCAGATTGCAGCTCTGCGTGTGTGGAGCAGCTGTGCACAGCTGCGCAGTAGGTGTACGTGGTTTTGTTTACCTTGAGCTCATTTGTTAGGTGAGGCTGGGATTCTGAACAGGGTTTAGTTGTGGGGGGTTTTTTTATTCATTTGAATTTGCTTCTGTTAAATTTGTAATATGTTTTGCCTCTTTGCTCTTTGGTTTAGGTTTTTATTTGAAAACCAGACTCCAGCCCATGTATATTATAGATGGAAGCTTTATTCAATTCTTCAGGCAAGTAGAATTTTAGGGACAGTTCGTAACTTCAAGCGTAATGAGAGAAAAGGCACCAAAATAAACACAGGTTTTTGGTTTTCTTTTAGGGAGATGCTCCAACCAAGTGGAGGACAGAAGATTTCCGTATGTTCAAAAATGGCTCATTCTGGAGGCCGCCACCATTGAATCCATACCTGCATGGGATGTCAGAAGAGCAAGAAACGGAAGCATTTGTTGAGGAACCAAACAAGAAGGGTGCACTTAAGGAAGAGTATGAACTTTCTTTAATTTACAGTGCTTTTTTAACTACTAATCTGCTTTGTTTTTTCCTGTTGTGTTTTTGATACAGTATGTCGCCCTGAAAATGTTACCATACTTACCATAATATTACTTAAGTCTCTTCACCCTAACTGAAAAGCACTGAGGGTTTTTTTTTCTGATGGTACTTGCTGCTAAATAACGTTCTGGATTTGCTTAGATTTGTCATCATTCAACGAGTCCTTGCAGTTCGGTTGTTATTAACCCTTTATTTGAAAGGGATTGGGAGGATGAGATTTTTTTCCCCCCATTTTCTGTTCCTGCTGGTGGACGTATATAGCATCTTTCTCAATGTTGTTATGATCTCACAAACTGTACAGTTATTATAAACTTAAACTGATTGGTGCTGTTCATCAGAGATTAAAATTTATTTTCTTAATTTTGCTATTATTGTTCCAAATGCGTTCTTAGCATGTGGAATTTTTTTCTTGTTTTATTTTCTCATCATAGTTATGATACTAGTCATGGTTCTAGAGGTTTTAATACAGAATTTTTCTTCTACCTTCTTTCTGAAAGTCTCAAAGAATATATTCTTTTGAGATTGTTCTCTACCTACGGAGGTCAGGGAAAACCTGAAATAATTGCTTTTTCCTAGCTTTTTGAATCTAATGTTTCTTATTCCACAGTAGAAATTACTTGCAGGCTTTAGATTTATCCATTTTGATTTAGGCTTAAACTAAATCCAGAAAGATAATTACTTTATTAGAGATACCGATCTGCTGCATTAGTTATTTCTCAGTTATGTTTCCTTGATTTCTAAATGTAGTCAAGACTTAAGTGGGATTTTTTTTGCACTTTATTTGTGTAATGTGTATTTGTTCATGGGTTATTGAAAAAACTCAGGCAGCAGAATATAAAAATACTTAAAATTGCTTTTGTCCTAAAGATGGAAAAATCAAACCCATCATTAAATGGAAATTCCCCAAGGTATTGTTAATTTTATATTGAAAGTATTTAAATTCCTGCTATTTCAGACAGAGGGACAAATTAGAGGAAATACTGCGTGGATTAACACCTCGGAAGAATGATATTGGTGATGCAATGGTTTTCTGTCTAAATAATGCGGAAGCTGCTGAAGAAATTGTAGACTGCATTACGGAATCTTTGTCCATTCTGAAGACTCCCCTTCCTAAGAAGGTGTGGATCTTGTATTTTGGGGGAAGACCTCACTTAACGGCATGTGCATATCATTTACAAGCATTATTTCCTACGTTTCAGAAAGTGTTGAGGTTTTAGGGTGTTGAATTTCAGTGTGATGATTTTTTTTTTCCTGCGGGATTTTGTTACATCTATTCTTTCTGAACCCGTTTGTAAATAATGTTCTGCCTTACTTTGAACTTGAAAACAGCAGCATAGTCTGTTCAAATGAGGAAATAAAAACTGGAATGCTATGACTTTTCCTCTGTAATACTATGTATTATGTTACAGTGGCTAGGATCCTGTAGCATAATGGGGCTAATTGCCTCTTAGCATGTTTATTAACAATATGGCTGTGTTACACTTAGCTCTAATATGATGCTTCTAGATAAACTATGTTGTATTCTTTCTGGAAAATATGCCTATATGCTTAATTTAAACCCTAGAGTTTCCTTAATTTGAACATTCTTTATTGTAGATTGCAAGATTATATCTAGTGTCAGATGTGTTATACAACTCTTCAGCTAAAGTTGCCAATGCTTCCTACTATAGAAAATTGTAAGTATAATAGCACCCAGACATAGGTGATTTGATGACTGTAAAAAAATATCCTTATATTCAGTTTTGTACCTCTCTGGATATGTGTTATAGAGAAATTCACCCTTTTCTACAAGGATACCGTTACAACACTGATATTTATATCTTTCTGCATGAAAACGTGTAAGATGTAACATGTTGGTGCATAGGATTCCTCTGTAATGCGAGAAGTAGTGTATGTGCTCTGTGCAAGGAGCCACTTGTGTGGAACCTCACAGAGGTGAGCATTACTCATGTGCCTCTTTACAGAAGGAGAGCCTGCAGATAATGCTCAAGATATGGTATAGCAAATAATCCGTGCAAAGAGGTCAATTTTTGAAATATAATTTTTTAATTAAAAGCTGTGTTTTAATTCTCCGTCAAGTTTGGAGAACTCCTAAAGAGATTATGTGCTTTGTTTCTATGGTGCAGAGCAGACTTTAAGAAAAATGTCCAAGGGGGAACAACTTTGTCGCATTTAGATATTTGATTGTGTCTACTTCCTGGAGTATCTCTAATGTTATGGTAGCATGATGGGGACTATTCACCCTGTTCCAAAACTCTAGCAATTGCAAATGATGCTGCTTGTTGCAGTGTGTCTTTGCAGTGCCAGTTTGTTTTGCACATTAAGAGAAGCACAAGGGAAGCTAGGCAGTACTTGCTGGGCTTTCATTGTGGGCCTTATTGGATAAATTAGAATAGAGACATAACTAAGAATTTTTTTAAAATATAGATTGAATTTTGAGACAGTTCGTTCATTGTATGTAAAGCTGTACAACTCCCTTTATCCTCCTCCAGTCTTTCCAGGCTGTATAAAGAGACTGCAGTAGATGTGAAGATCTCCCTTCACAGTTCTGTTGTTGTCCAAGGTGATTTAATATATAGTAATCGTATTTGCTTTATAGTTCAGTTCATGGCTACTATAGGGGTTCAAACCTTGTGCTTTTGAGTTATGTCCCAGGTATTTTCATGAATTATGTATGTCCAGAAAACACATATTACAAAGTTTAACTAAAGAAATGTATATGTTTAATTCTAGTTTTGAAACAAAATTATGTCAGATATTCTCTGATCTCAATGCTACTTACCGTACAATACAAGGCCATTTACAGTCTGAAAATTTCAAGGTATGTATTTAATTGTTATTTACATGACATAGAAGTCAAATAGATGATCTGGGACAAGAGTTTGCACACTACTAAACCTCAAGCTTCCTAATTAAGCTTTTTTTTTTTTTAAATTACGTTTTCTGTCTTGAAAAGAGAGCCATGAATTCAGGAAGAAAATTAGCATATAACAGCTGAAGTGTATCAGTAGATGCGTAGTTGTGGAGCTGAGTGGAATATCTATCTGGTACTTGAATTGCAAACAAGGCCTTCTTGCTTTTGATTATTTTTGGACCACCTATATTTCAGTTCCAAAAATAAATTTGGGCTGCACAGTGTGGACAGAAACGGCTGGACATAACAGCATAAAGTTAGGTTTTATTGTTTGTGTGATAGTTAGGCTTTATTCTTTGAGGTCTGATAAGCAGTCTGAGCATGGGTAGTTGAGAGTGATTTTTGAGATAAAGTGCCCTGTTTCTTGTACTCAGTCTAACTTTTCCTTCTCCTTTTTAAAAGATATCTCTAAATTTTTTTTTTTCCTTTTTAAATAAGTGGCTTTGTATTTAAGGCTTACAGTACTGTTAGTTTTTCTGTGTTAAGGTCTTTATCCTGATTGTCCTATCTTCTGTGCCCCCAGTTGCTCTAGGTTGAGAATCAATTTTAGTGATTTGCTAGTTTAAAATTGTTTATTAAATTATATGGTAAAGACAGGCAAGAGATCTTATATCATATCTACACTTCCAGCTACATTTACTATGTCAAGCTTGAGTTGAACCCCATCATTTCAAATATATTCCGCTTCTACAAAAAATGAAAGTAGGAATATATTTTCAGTTCAGTAATATGAATAAACTGGTGTTAATTTTAGTTATTTTATTTTACAGAGGGAAAGGTAATATTTAGTAGAGACACTTCCTTGACCATCTGGGCAGAATGAAATTTACTGTTGGAATAGGAACTGTGAACAGCTGAAATTGATAATGTAGCAGGAATTTAAAGGGAAAGTGAAACACAAGTGAGATTTTTTTTAAAAAAGTAATTTCCATATATGTATTTTTGTAAAATTACTAGTCTTGCCTGGCATGGTATCACTGTAATACACTCCAGTGTGGAACTACCTAGGAGTAGCTGTCTGCAGTAGTTCTCTAGGGTGTATTTCCGATCACGTAAATTTTCTGAATACACATTTATTAGTGTGTTTTTGCTATTGCTTCTAGCAACGGGTAATGACATGCTTCCGAGCATGGGAAGACTGGGCTATCTATCCAGAACCATTTCTGATCAAACTACAAAATATTTTCTTGGGGCTTGTAAATATCATGGAAGATAAAGAAACGGAGGTAAGCGACCTTAGTGGTGCTTGCAGATGGTGAGAAAAAACCTGTAAACATAAAATTGGGCTCACAAAGATCATTTTGCTGTCTGTGTTAGGGTGAATAAAACTCCTTTTTTCCTCTGCGTCCTTGCTCTTTAAATACAGGTGTAACATATTTTCAGATGCAAATACTGTTTAATCTGTTTTTGCATTTGTTGTTTGTAGATTAATGCTGTGGTGGAGTTGCGTTGTGCAACCAATTCAGAGCAAAGACTAGTGCAGGATGACAGGTATTTCCTTTGTACTGGAAATACTCTGTAGTATCCGTCTGTGAGTTTTGAGTTAGGATTTTAGGCATTAGTTTTGATTTCTGAAATTTTAAATAGCTTGGTATCTGGCTACCTGAGTCATCTCCCTCCCCCCTTTTTTTTTTTTAAGAGATTATTGTAAAAAGGATGTGTAGCGAGTTTTAGTTACTGTACAGTGGCATCTATAAATGATTTGTCAATACTTTGAAGCTCTGTGTTTAAGATTTTCTAGAATACCATTAACACTGAGTAAATGTCTACTGCTCTTTACAGTTACATATAAATATTAAAAAGAGTCAAGACAGTAGTGGATACTAATAAACCTATGTGTGTTTAGGCTAAGTTAATTTTGCAGTTGTGGAAACCTGCCTTTTTGGATCAGTGGGAGGAAGACCTACAGTACAGTTGGAAGGTTAGCAGTAGAGCAGGGTGAAAGTTCATGCGGGAAGGCCTGTACCTAACAAGTTAGAATATGCAGGTGTATTTATCATGTGTGTGTGTTTCTTAAATTTGTGTTCTTGCTGAAGAATTGATTTCTGTCAGTTATTTGGATTACTGATTCTCAGAGAATCTTTCTAGGTAGTAAGTATAATTTATCTGACTCTAATTGGCTCATTTCAAGCTACATCTCAGCTTAGATCTCTTCCAGTACATTGTGGACAAAATCAAGTTCTTGCTTATAATTTTTCTTAGGAGGATATTGTGGGGTTTTTTTGCCCTGCGATAAGCAACTGTACTTTGTAGCAAAAATTGTTGAAGCTGAGTTTTTTTTGTTTAGGTATTTTTAAAGCTACTCCTTTAAAAAAGGAGGGAATCCATAATTGGAGAAGTAAAGAAAAGCAAGGTAGATTTGTTCTTGAAATAATTATTATTTGACTTCAGGAAGTACCAGATGATCTTGATGGTGCTCCCATTGAGGAAGAGCTCGATGGTGCTCCTCTAGAAGATGTGGATGGAATTCCTATTGATGCTGGTCCTATTGATGATCTGGATGGAGTCCCAATTAAATCGTTGGATGATGACCTGGACGGAGTTCCTTGTACGAAATGTTTCAACTTTTACATTCAATTTGAATCTTCAATATTTTACGTTGGGTTTATTTTTCCCCCATGAGTACTTTTTACAAGTACAGCCAAGAAGTAACATGGCATGTAGCTTTGTAAAATGTTGAATTGATTAATTTCAATTTGTTCTAGGAAGAATTAGTTTAAAATCTGCTTTCAAATTTTATTTGCTTCAGAGACATAGTAGGTGTCTTCTGATGTTATGCACATAAGGTTCCAAATCCTAATTTATTTTCTTGGCAAATAATAAAAGGGTATAACATACTTCAGTGTTTAAATCTGATTGTTATAGTAGGATTTTTCCATTGGAACTTTTGAAGAGCTTTCAAAATTATTTTTCTGTGTCTCTTTCTCCAACAGTGGATACAGCTGAAGACTCAAAAAAAAATGAGCCTATATTTAAAGTTGCCCCTTCAAAGTGGGAAGCAGTGGATGAATCAGAACTGGAAGCTCAAGGTTAGTTTTCAAACAATATATTAAACTAAAACAATTCCCTAAGTAAACTGAAAGCTTAATGTCACTTAACCTATTTCATCATTATTTTCAACTGATCTGTTCTTTTAAACAGATTTCTGTAATAATACAGTAGGATTTTAAATGGTAACTTTTTTTTTTGTTATAGCTTCAGTGAAGAATACAGTGTATTCTGGTTTTGTTTTTCTACTTCAATAACCTACTAACCTTTAAAAATAATTTCCATTCATTAAGAATAAATACGGGGGGGGGAAAAAAGTGTGTGTGTGTGGAAATCTGCATGGAAATCTGCATATGTGGTTGTCAGTCTTATTAAATATTTGTTTGGAAGATAAGATTTTACAAACTAACAAATACCTGGCTGCTTTTGAAAGATTTACTGAAACATGATAGGCAGTATAAATTAATAGCTCTGTAAATAGTAAATACTCTGATAATATGCAGTTTTTAGTATTTCTGTGAAAGAGTCTGTACTAGGTGCTATATGCTGGTAAATTTTTATCACATTAATTTTTATTATACATACAAATACTAATTTTCAGACTAAGTGATGACTTCCTGATAAAATTCTCTTCTAGCTGTTACTACTTCTAAGTGGGAGCTTTTTGACCAGCATGAAGAATCTGAGGAGGAAGAAATTCAAAAGTAAATACTTTTTCATTCTCATGAAAACCTACTAATTTTCTACCTCTAAGGCTGAGTGTCTTTGGAACTCTCTATAAGAGAGAGATATGCAGAACAAAAATGAAATGTTGAAAGTAGGAAAATAATGAAATGGAGAAAATCAGGATTTCAGTGCAGCATTCTTTCAGCCTCCATATTTTTTTTTTTCTAACATGATAAATAACACCCTTTGGAGTTGTTAGCCATAATCTTTAAATTGATTCTGATCTGATAACTTCATATCAAATAGTAAGAACTAAGGTAGTAGTATTTTACAATTTGGAAATCTTGATGTCAGATGTGTGTGAATGTATCTAAACCTCTGCCTTTGCTTTTGACACCGACACAGTAAGTAATGTTCTGATGTGTATGTTTCTTGAGATGCTGATAGACTCCAGGCCATCTGTTGCTTTTGAGCAGTCTTTGACTTTGTTCTTTAGGTAGTTGAGAGCCTCTCTTAGTAATGTTTTAAGGATCTTCCTGCACTGCTTGTAGTACTGCAGCACTCTAGTGGCCTGTCAGGGAATGTAATTTTGAATATATGCCATCTCTTAGGTTTGTCTCCAGAAAGCAAGTGTGGTAAATTTAGTTCTTTCATAAAACTTTATATCTGTACAGCATGATTACAGCACTTAGAGGTTTTGTTGAGGTTTGTAGCTGAGTTAGATATGGCTTTGACTGTAAATTTCAAGAATTCTTCTGCACTCTATTTATATGAAAAGTGCAAATTATCTGAGTAAGAAAAACTAACTATTTAATTAAACGAAAATATGAAGATACCTGTCTTGATGGAGACTTTTGTAGTTAGACTTTTGCATAATGTAATCTTACTTAACAGATTTCAAAACTAGGAACTAGTCATCGAAACCAAGTAGGAAAGATGGTAAATTTTGTAACAGGTAATTGTCTTACATAATTAACCGATACATATTTGTTTTCTGTAAAGTCAAGAAGAAGAAAGTGAAGATGAGGAAGACACTCAGAGTTCTAAGTCAGAAGAGCAACACATATATTCCAATCCTATTAAAGAAGAAATGTCTGAATCCAAGTCATCAGTCAAATATTCAGAAATGAGTGAAGAAAAGCGTGCCAAACTCCGAGAGATAGAGGTTGGCATGTGGCATTTTGTGCCACCCTTCTGTACCTTTCCAATCCCTGCCCCCCTGAGTTCTCTACAGATAACAGGGAGTTATTTTTACTGAAATAATTGTAGTTCTATTATGTAGTGTGGTTTTAGTCCAGTGTATTTTTATAAAGGTATGATTTGGTAACAGCCTTGCCTTATTTTGGCTTTCAAAGTGATGCAGGAGAAAAAAAAAGTCAGGGGATGTTGTATGTTGAGAATTACTCTTCTTTAGTGTCCCTTTTCAGTACCACTCTTGGCCTTAGCTTGCTGGGGTTCCTCTATACTTCCTTGTCAAATGGGAGTGACTTTTGGATGTGCCTATGCCTTTCTTATTCTGTCTTGCCTTGCAATGTCTGTATTTTATTGCATTTAAAAGTTACTGTCTTCACTGCATCAGCCATCAAAGAAGTAGATGCAACTAAACAAAGTGATCCTGGAAATGGGGCATTTTAATCAAAAACCCACATGCAGTTTATAGGGCTCACTTGTTCTTTTATCCTTTCTCCAAGCACATGTGTTAGTATAGCTGTGAAGGTTGATAAGCACAGACTGTTATGTCTTTGTGCTGCCTTCTGAGCTTGTGGTTGATGGAGAAGGTAACTAGAACTTGAATCTAGAATGAGCTTTGTCTAGCAGTGAGGCCTTTCTGTCATACAGTGCATGCAAAACCAGGTTTAAAATTGCATGCAACGTTCCATCTTGCGTTCAGTATTAAAACCCATGATACACTGAATACTGAGATTCTTGTACCTTCTCTTCAGTGCATTAAAACGATATTAAGAAGCTGCTAAACTTCTTGTTGCAGTTGTAGCATCTCCAAGGACAGATTATACTTTGGTTAATATTTTGAAGGTGGAATTGTGGCTGCCTGTGTATCTGTGCTATACTGTACTAGTTTGCTAAGATCAGACATTAGCAAAGCCCCATAACATTCTTTTAAGAACAATATTTTACAATGTCACAACTAGTGTTTCTCTCTAATAAGCTTCTGTTTAATAATTCAGAATATTAAAATGAATGGACTATAACTAAATGCTTGGAAACCTCTTGCTTTGCCTATCAGTTAGAAAGTTCATGATGCATAGCCATTGGAAATGAGTGAATTCTGAATCTGAGAAAAGCTAAATAGGATTTATGTCTGGCTTGACTCATGGTGGCAGTAGTGCTGTAGAAAATACATGATATTAGACTAACAAAAGTACAAGTGAAACTAGATTTCATTTTGCTGCAATAATGATTGTAGTGGTCATGGAAAGGGCTCCTTTCAGATTGAGTGTCTGTTTTATAGATGTTATCCAGGCAGTTGTGGAGGCAGACTAGGAAGGAATTTAGTTTAACCACTGTCAATTTTACACTGCACAAGTGTTCTAAGTTCTTTCATTGATGCATCCCATCTGTAACAGTTTTAGGTGATAAATATTTGTGGTTTTCCAGTGCATGTTTCCATCCTTATTCTTTGTGGTAGGTAAATTACCATCTCAGTTTCAGACTTTTGGAATTGCCAGAAAAGGATTGTAATTTTTTTTTCATTTTCAGAACATTTCAGACACTATGTAGAAATACTTAAATTTAAAAATTTCTCCTCAAATGTGTCATTGAGAGGGAAGTACTCCATGTACTACTTCAAAGCATTCATGCTCAAAGTTTCTTCTTAGTGTGTACCCAGTCCCTGCCAAATAACATACCCATTACTAAATTTGAGGGAAGGAACTGAGGGGAAAAAAACCCAAACAACCACATAACTTACCAGCTTTAACAGCTATGCTATCTAATACACACTCATCAAAATGTTGTGTAAAATCTTCAGCGAAAAAAAGGCAAAGTCTGTTTGTCAAGCAGTTTACGCAGTGACTGCCAGGGAAGCTGAAACACATTTATTCATGCTTTATTTGGAAATTCATGAATACAAATAACGATTCTTTCTCCTGGCACAGTTACTAAATCACGTTTGTCAGCTGGGAGTGGAAAGTGCAGTAAGAAACAAACTTTGGCCACAGCCATCAGACTAGTGCCATCAGAGAAGGCAGGTTATTAACCCCTTGTTTGTCTTCCCTCATACCCCTGTTAAGCTTGCTGAAGTGTGAATTCTTTCCAGAGCTTAGCATGAGCAGAGGCTTTTTTGTAACACCGAACAACAGTGATTTATTTACTGTTTAAATGTGGAGAGATTGGCACTTTGCTTTACATGATAACTCAGATTTCAGGGTGGTCTTTATGGTGCTGTGCATGTGTGCACTCTAGACATAAAAGAAAGATGCATTCCTCTTTGTAAAGACCTCAGTGCTGTGTAGTGTTAGAAAAACAGGAACTAACGTCACTTAAATTGTTCATTAAGCTTGTTTTCTCAGAGTCTATGAAAACTTAGAGGTGCAGCGAAGCAGCGTTGTCCTCCTTGGACCTCTTTCTAAAGTACTTCCATCTAAAGTGTTTCCATCTTGCTGCACAAGATTTTATAATCCTACCCTAAAGAAGCAGACTGCCGGCTTTATCTGCAGCAGGAGGCAGGCTTTTCACAAATCCTGATGTGTAAGTGCTTCCAGAAGGGTCATACAGGAGATAGGTACTCTTTAGTAGCTGCCTTTACTCACCTTTGTGTTAGCCACCTGAGACCTCAAAGCAGTGTTTGATTGCTTAATCCAAGGCAGAAGACTAAAGGTCGTCTGTATCCTTGTTCAACCTTTCTGCTGCATACCACTGAGCTCCAGGAGATGCAGGGTTGGATTCTGTTACCCCATCCTGCATCTGTGCTCTGTCAGTACCCCCCTGCCCAGTGCATAAACGGAGTTTTTTTGGTGGGGTGTCTTCCCCCCAGAAAATGTGTGATGGTATTTGAGGTGCAATTTGTTCTTCTACCAAGAGCCAAAAACTTTGTCACAAAGGAAAGGAAGTTACTCACCTTGCTTTCGTGATACGAGTTGCTGTACCAGACAAGATCAAAGTTCCTTTACTGTAGTTTTCCATCTCCAACAGAGAATGACTAGAGCACAAGATACGTATAGATTAAGCCTAGTCCACTAGAGCAGATTGTATCTGAGGTCTGTTGTGGTTTTCAAGGACCTCTATACCTTTGTCAAGGAACTGAAGTTCCGTGCAGTTGCCACTATTTCTTTCTCTGTGTTACGGTGTTTAGTATGCAGAATACTCACTTCTGTGTATTTGTTCATCAAGTCATAGGACTTACCTGAGGCTTGTAATCATCACTAGAACAATATGATCCTTTGGTCCTTACAGTCTGTGGAGGTTTCTGTACCTGGATCATCTGAGGCCACTGCAAAATGGCAAAAAGATAGCCAATTAATATCTTAGTCATTGCAGCTTAGTGATAATAGATGAGACAGATTAGGTCTCTTGCTTGACCAATGCTTTTGTAACTTATAGCAGTTCTTCTTTGGAATATGATGACTACCTTAATTCAGCAGATTCTGGTTTATTTTAAATCTTTGAATTTACTCCTATTTTACACAAAGACAGAAGTGAGGAATTGCTTAGCTCCGAGACACATGGCATCCTGTGAGTGTGACTGAGCATGCCAGGGGTATTTCACGCGTGTGCATCAGTGTTGCTGTCATTTGTTGACGACAGTAGTGTGGCTGCAGAAATTCCACTGCCCATAGGCTCGCTGGAAAACACAAGCTTTCAAAGAAATATTTTGCTCTGCTTCTGGCTAAGTCTGGGAGTTGTTGCAGCCGTTGTTTGGGCGAGTCTGTTTTAAGGAAAACCAAAACGCTTTGGTCTGCATGGATATCTGTCCTGTCTGTATTCAGTCTAGATTTGAGGGCAGTTATGTATCAGGTGGAAATTCCTATCTGTCATGAAGCATCTGGTGATTAACTTCCCAGTTAATCCTAGTATGCAGCTAATTTACCTGAAATAAGTTGTCTTTCAACCTGGCCATTAAGTTCTGAGGGTGTGTAACACTGGAATAACCTTGTGAAAAAGCCTTTTTTTCCCCTGGAGACCACTGGGTATGGACTCAGTATCGGTAGAAGAATAGAAAACCAAGAACGGTTTTTGAAAACAGGTTCATTTTAAGCATGGGAGGCTACACACAGCACACCTGCGTGTGTCAAAATGCAAACAGCTACGGCAGGGTTTCAGTTTGCATCACTCTGGTTTCCCTGAACTGTGTTAGCAAGATGTTAGCCTCTGCTGTAACTTGCTAGCTTACTGGTTAGTCTGTAATCAAGGCCTCAACCTCTAGGAAAGGCTGAATCTTTTAAACTCTCCTCAAATGAGTTTAAGCAGGGAGGGGGTGAAATTTCAAGATGAGAACCAATAGGCTAGAGGCATGTTATGGAGCCGTTTATCTTGAACTCGTGAGAGATACCTCTGCATGCTTCGTGAAAAATACAATCCCTGCATTGGGGCATGCAGTAGGGATTGCACACAGGATCTCCAGTGATACCTGACACTTCTGCATTGCAGTCTCTGGAAAACCTCTAAACTCTCTCTGCTGTGGGAGGCTGCTGTGTCTAAGAAAACAGTATTACAAAGTTTTGGAACAGGGTTTTGAAAAATTTTCCCCTTCCATATCACCATGTGTATTACTGACTCTAGAGACAGGAGTAGCCACATACTGACTTTATCTAGACTAAGGATGAACAGGCATAAGTGGTGTTGTCTGTTGAATGAGAATAGTTAAAGAATAACCAGTTTGATGACAATATATTAGTTCTTTCTAAATGCAAGTTTACAAAGTGTAACGCTTACAAAATTCATCAGGTGGATGCTCAAGCAGATTTAAGACTAAGTTTTAGGGATCTCTTTCTCCCGGGGGCGTACCTAGAACTGTATGCGAGAAAAGATCAGTAAGAAGAATGTGCACCACAGCCAGTATGCTCATAGGAATATAAACATCAGGTACTTTGGCGAGAAAAGATCAGTAAGAGGAATGTGCACCACAGCCAGTATGCTCTTAACAGTGAAATGGGGAGGGGAGGTAACCAAGTGTGTATGTTTATATAGGAATTCTGAGCAGTAGAATTCTTTGGAGAATTCTCTACTTTGGGACCTAAGTAATTCCTTTTCATTTAAAACCTAGTTGCAGTGGTGGTATTTTAGAGCAAGAAGCAAAAGCTTCTTTACACAAAGGTGTAGGATGAGGTGATCTGATCTAACTGCTCACCTCTGCTGAAAGGGAATATCCTACCCCTGAACTGGTACTTGCTCATTCTTCCCCTGAGCCGATACATCTCACTAATGGAGGGGGAGAGAAGGAAAGGTGGGGGTGGACTTCTGCTAGATTAGTGACTTGATCTGGTTTATGTAGAAGGCCAGCCATATTCTGGGCTGCATCAGAAGTGTGGCCAGCAGGTCGAGGGAGGTGATTCTGCCCCTCTACTCTGCTCTGGCGAGACCCCACCTGGAGTGCTGCGTCCAGCTGTGGAGCCCTCACCATCAGAAGGATATTGACCACTTGGAGCGAGTCCAGAGGAGGCCACGAAGATGCTCCGAGGGCTGGAGCACCTCTGCTATGGGGACAGGCTGGGAGAGTTGGGCTTGTTCAGCCTGGAGAAGAGAAGGCTCTGGGGGGACCTCATTGCAGCTTTCCAGCACCTGAAGGGGCTACAAGGGGGCTGGGGGGGACTTCTTACAAGGGCCTGTAGTGACAGGACAAGGGGTAACGGGGACAAATTGAAAACAGGGAGGTTTAGATTAGATATCAGGAAGAAATTCTTCCTCTAGAGGTTGGTGAGGCAGAGGAACAGGTTGCCCAGAGAAGCTGTGGATGCCCCATCCCTGGAAGTGTCCAAGGCCAGGCTGGATGAGGCTTGGAGCAACCTGGTCTAGTGGAAGGTGTCCCTGCCCATGGCAGGGGGGTTGGAACTGGATGGTCTTTTAAGGTCCCTTCCAACCCAAACCATTCTATGATTCTATCTTTCTGTAATGAGCTGTTGATATAATCTCAGCACGTTGTCACACTTGGTCTCCTTTTCCAGGGGGTGTACTAGAGCTGATTGCTTCTACCCACAGCCCTTTTCTAAACAGCTTACATGGGTTCAGAGGGAGATACAGCAAGTATGTGGTAGAGATTCATTGATGATGGGTCTGTAAAAGACCACAGCTGTCTTTGGAAACCATATGATCTTAACATAGTTGGAGTTTAGGGAGGTGTTGAGTCAGTGGTTATTGCATAGCCTTTTCCTATTTTTCCTGTCTTCCTCTAGGCATTGGCTAATGACCACCTTTTCTTTCACCCCATCCTCTGCCCACACTTACTGGAAAAGTTACATGCAAATACTTCCTCTTGGCATTTAATTTCATGCCACGGTAGGTTGTGTGACATGCATGTAAGACAGGCTGCTAGAAGTTCAGCGTTTCTCTGCATACAGTTTAGTTTATTAAATAAACTCTGTTGATTGGTTTCCTAGTTTTCCTTCATTTCAGGTTACTTTTGGCTATAAACTTACACTTCCTTGCTTTCAGAATATGGTTAAACAGAGATAGTGTCACAGCCTTGTTGGCTGAAAATTTAAAGAAATCAAATGTTATAAGGATATGTGGGTGTTTTTGGTGTTTGTTTGTTTTGTTTTGGGGTTGGTTGGTTTTTTGTTAGGGTGGGTTTCTTTTTTTTTTTTTTTAGTTATCTGGGTGATACAGTTAGGAAAACAAAGTAGAAGAAGTCTTATGGGCATGTTCATACCATGACAGCCCAAGAGGCCTTCTGGATCAGTTAAGCCTCCTTCTGTACTCTTCTGTTCAGTACTGAATGTGTTAAGCAACTAATGGCCTTGGAGCTTACATAGTGGTAGATAAGGCAGTCTTGGTTTCTTACCAGAACAGGTGCTACGGGATGGCACTGGATATATGGTTCCCAGAGGTATTCTTGCTTTTGAAACTTCTGCATCTGCAGGGAGCGGGGGAAGAAGAAATGCATTATGGAAGGTGGAGTGGTATGTGACAAATTGTGAAGTCAGCTTTCTATTGGCTGAATTGTAAGCAAAAATCAAAAATGCCTGACCTTAGGTAGAGCATACTCTGTAAGTGAGGGAGGTAAGCAGAACACTAATCAGAAACTTGCTGTGGTACAAGTTAGCAATTCCTTTTTTCTGCTCTCCCGTGACCCTCCATGGCTGCAGGGCACAGCCTGTCCCCTCACCACAGACTGCAGGGGAACCTCTGCTCTGGCCATCTCCTCCCCTCCTTCTGCACTGGCCTGGCGGTCTGCCTGGTTGCCTCTCTCACATCCCACTCCTCTCTCCATTGCCAGTTCTGCAGCTGTTCTTTTTCTTTTATGCCTCTTAAATATGTTCTCCCAGAGGTGCTACCACTGTCACTGATGGGCTCGGCCGTGTCCAGAGGTGGGTCCAACTTGGATCCTGTGGAGTTTCTAGCACTTTTTCCACAGGAGCCATCCCCGTAGCATTCCCCCTGCTACCAAAACCCACCACATAAACGTGATGTAATGAGTTTTATGTTTCTTGACATATTTGTTCTTGTGGTTAATTTGTTTTTGTACTACCTTTCCTTTCTGCTCAGTCAGTAACTGGAAGGGCTGATAGGAGTATATGGTAACTTCATATGCAGTCTGGCCTGCTGCTGTTGAGAGGGAAGAAAAAATCCTTAGGGTTTGATGTGTGCTTTGTGTTGCAGAATTGAGGACCTGGAGAATAAGAATCCTTTCAGATAATTGAAACGGTCATAGTAGCAAACTCTTTTCCTTTGTGTGTTTTCAGTGTGGAAGAGTTAATTTTTTCTATAGAAATTTTTTTTGTGTGTTTGCTAAAAATGAAACTCTAAAGCAGTGGAAAAATGTACTCTTACGTGTACGACTGTGCAGGTCTGTATTGAAACAGGACATACAGAATGTTCAGAGCATAAGCATAAACATAAACATTTGGAAGAGGGCTGACAAATATGACATGACTTACTACTGAGATCCCCCCCACCCCAAAGACACTCCCTCTTCCAAAAAAAAAAAAAAAGGATTGTTTGTAAAAGGCTATGCCAGTAAGAATAGAGAATTGACAGATTATAAGAGATGAGTGAAGACTTAGGGTGTGAATGAACCTGGAGAAAGGTTTTCCCTAGATTAAAAAAAAAAATCCATATGGAAAAATTATGCCATCTGCTTAACGTTGTGGCCATTATCGCAGTAAATTCAGTGTCACATTTAGCAGCACTAGTGAACTGAGTTTTGTTGCTAAGGTTGACAGCGCATGAGAGAGTATTATGGTAGTAAAAAACACTTCTTTTGAATCAGCCACCGTGTGCAAAAACAGCCCTGAATTGGAGATGCATTTGGTTTATGTCCTAATTATGTCAGTCATTTGATCTTAATGTTTAGGGTTAAATGGAAAACAGGCAATTTCTGAAGGAAAACTTGGAGTAGATAAGAGAAGCTGAAACAATGTATTAAGACACCTGCAGTACATGATCTCATTTTGAAAGAAAAAAACAGATAATGATCCAAAAAATAGAGGAGTGCAGTGTTCTAATGATGGGAACAACATTTAGTGGAACAACAGAAAAAATATCTTTATTTTTAGTTCTTGACATGTGTGCAAACAGCTGCAGGTGCCTGCAGATAAGTATGCAGTTGTGTTGCTTTGGTACAGTTTAAATGAAGTTAGTATCTTTTTGTGTACAAACGTGTATAGAAAGGATGAAGAACAGAGATGATAAATCATGGAAATTTCATTTTCAGCCACCTGCCTAACTTGATAATAATAAGCCAAATAACCTAATGGTCAGTATTATTTTCACAGCTTAAGGTGATGAAGTTTCAGGATGAGTTAGAGTCTGGGAAAAGACCCAAGAAACCAGGCCAGAGTTTTCAGGAACAGGTTGAACACTATAGAGACAAGCTGCTCCAGAGGGTAAGAACTGTTCTTTATGTTTGGCTCAGATTCTGTGTTAGGCTTTTATTGAGTTTATCAAATGTAAGGTGGCATTAAGTATGACAACATGTGGTTCTTGTTAAAATTCTACTGTAATGTCAAACTGCATGTCTAAATCCAAGTGCTTTCTGCAGACTAGATATAATCTTTTTTTTAATCAAAGTAATGTAGCATTTATCACTGTGCAGATGGGTGTCATTAGAATGTATTGAAACCCTAAACAGGTCACTTCTGGATCTACTACATAAAGCAAACTGTTAGGTGTGAGAAAGGAGAGGCAGAGCTGTCAATTGAAGACGTTCATCAGTGTTTACATTTTGCTTTTATTAATTGATGCATTGTGCTAAAGGCTTCCAAAGGAAGAGAAAGAATGGTATTAAGCAGCGTATGTGCTTCTGATTCTCTAGTGTCCAAGATTCCCTGGATAATTCCAGTGCATACTGTCACCCAAAACTGATTAATTCTGTACCACTGCCATTTTTAGTAGTCCTCTCTGGACTGTGAAGTCAGAGTGACTTTAAAAATTAGCATCATATATGTGATCTTGCATCTTTGAAGTGTAACAAGAGAGCACATAACCTGTTTGGAGAGTGTGTTTAGTATGAGAGAGTAAGTGGCAGTTGCTTCTCTAATCTGTTTTCACAGCCTGACAGATCAATAATGAAATTAGGTGCCCATGCAGTTTCTTGGAAGCAAAATCAGATCATCAGTTTTCACTAGGTGTTTGTCTGTCACTTGCTTTTTGTGTTATTTGCTGTTCAATATCTGACTAATTCACTAAAGTAATTTTGCACAGTACCTTGAAGAAAGAGACTCGTAAAAATTAAAGCTGATCCCTGAAGGAGATTTATGTGTTTGGAGGTTGATGTTAGCAGTTCAGACTTCGATGTTTATAAATAACTTCCCTTTCAAATGTAGTTCTGTCCTAAAACTTCCCACTTCTGCAGTTGGAGACAGAAGTGATCTGTACAGTAAGCACCGAATGTTTAGTGAGACAGTAGCTCAAAAACCCAGAAACCACAATCCTGGTAACTCTGTTAGATTCTTTGTGTTGAATTAGTTCAACCATGAATTAGTTCAACCAGTTTGCAGTACTTTAGATTTTTAATAATTATCTTTTCTATTTTCACTTTCAATGATGAAGGTAATATTTAGCTAAATATTTCATCATGATGATTACAGGTGTTCTTTAAAACAATACCCCATCGTTAAGGGAATAACTATGGCTTTAATGCCATAATAAAGCTAGTTTGCATAATAATCAATACTGGTTCTGATTTGCATTTCCCCCAAACTTGGTGGTTGGTCATCGTTTTTTGTCTAATTTACTACAGCATAAGCTTTCCAAGAGTAAATTTTCTAGTGGTATTGAATATAGTGAAGAGAATAGGAACACAGAGCTATTTAAAATACTGCTTATTACTATTGATCAAGATGAAATAATTAGTTATGCTATCAAATAACCTAGGCACATCTTAAGAGGCCATTGATTTTAGTGGAATCTAACAGTAGTTTGTAATGGTAGGTATAATGATAAGGGACACTTATAAAGATTTTACTGGCAAGTCTTCCATGTAAAGAACATGTGAGACTGGATTAGTATAGCTGTTCTGGTATTTCTGGCACTTGTGTTACCATCTCCCACCCTCCTTCTCCTCCCTCTCCCCGTTCTCTCCCACTCCCCCCATCCCTCCCTTTCTTTTATTTAGCTGAATCGCCCCTTCTTTGTTGTCTTCATGGGGTACGCAGGGAATATCTGTTGAAGTTTTGCCATGGAAGGGTTTTTTTCATGCCAGTACTGAAAGAAGCGCATTGCTTGATCTGTGGGTTCAGCTGTGCTGATGGTTCAAGTTTATTTTTGTATAATTAATTTTCTAACTACTTGGCAGATAAACAGGGTGTGCCCAGGGTATATATTTTCTTTCAAAATGGTCCTGTTGGTTTATAGAAATGGACCATATTTGTTGAGTTTTTTGATAGAGTAGAGATTATTGTAGAATCTTGTTTGTATTTTTGTTTTGTCTTTAAATGTCTTGTAGTTACTAGATGAATCCAGACTGAAAACTGCGATAGTAAAGATGAACGAGATGAACGTGTATGTTTTAAGTAGAAAGAGGTTCCTGTTCTTTCATTTAATCTAGTTTAGAAAAATTTGTTACAGATGAACTTTGTAAAATTGAAGACTCTTCATTTCCAATTAGATACTCACTTTGTCACACAGGGTGACATCCTCCATCATTTTTTGTCAGTGTTTGCGTTACAGTAAATGTTTCTGCTGTGTACGAAGCAGAAAGATTTGGAGGGAGGCTGTAGTATGGCCATTAGTTCCTTCCCAGGTTATGTGCTGTGTTCCTTCCGCACCCAGTGCAGTTTGTGCTTTAGCTTGATTGTCTTTTCTTAATAACTAGTCACACCTCATCTGAAATAACGAATGCTTCTAATAATTTAGGAAAAAGAGAAAGAGTTGGAAAGAGAACGGGACAGAGACAAAAAGGACAAGGAAAAATCTGAATCCAGGTCCAAAGATAAGAAGGAAAAGGAGGAGTGTACACCAACAAGAAAAGAGAGGTATGGCTATCCTTGGAGTAATGTGGATGGGAGGAAAAACCTCACCGTTGGAATCTTTGTATATAGTGGCAGTCTTGAAATTATGCTGTATCGTTCATCTTTTTTTAAAAAGAAAAACACAAAGCCACCCAAAGAAACAAAAGAAAATCCAGCAACAAAAAGCATGCTTTGAATATTGACATGTTTCAAAGTTTGTAGGGAATTGTCATTTTTATTCTGCTCTAAGTGATGTACCATGTTGAATAGGCTCCCCTTTTGGCTCATGTAGGCCCTGAGGAAACGTGGTAAAATAACAACCAGTTGAAAACAGGGTGTATTTCACTCTCTTAGCAGTAAATTGACTGCAGTGCATTAGTCCAAAAACTGTACTGAAGTCACACCACAAATTATTTTCAGCGGTTTAAGTTTTATTTATCTTGTAGTGAAAATTCTTCAAAACAGCTAGTTTTAAGATAGTTGATTGTACACTGTGATCTTCTAATACTAGTATAGCCAAACTCTTCCATGGTATTCAGTGTAGGTACAGTAGAATGTCTTGCTTTTCAGGAAACTGACAAGGTTTTTATACTGCAAGAATCAAAGATGAGTCACAGGCCTTAGGTTTTTTTCAACAGAGGAAGTCTGGTGCACATGTTAAACTTGTTTGGTGCGTTTATTTAAAGTAATAAAAAGCCTACTAGTTTATAGTTACTTAAAAGGAACTTGCGTTACATTGGCAAAAGAAAATATCTACAGAAAATGATCAGTTTTCTTAATGCACATTTTCACTTCCCTGGGTGTGTACGTACATAACTCTTTGCTTTCCTTGCAAAGGAAAAGGCGACACAGTGCTTCACCTAGCCCATCTCGCAGCAGTGGCAGCAGACGAGCAAAATCTCCGTCACCAAAATCAGAACGCTCAGAGCGCTCTGAACGGTCCCACAAAGAGAGTTCACGTTCTCGGTCATCACATAAAGATTCTCCCAGAGATGTCAGTAAAAAAGGCAAAAGGTAAGCTGGTATCTCCTCCATTTCAGGTTGCAGGAAAGTTAAGTACATAGGTGTGTTTAGTTTGGTTTTGTTTGTGTGGTTTTTAGCAGAGCGTCTTTGGTACGCAAGTACTTGCTCTCATAATGGGATATCCTCCATGTTCCTGGTAAGTATCTTTGGATGCTTGGTGTCTGCAGTGTTTCTAGCCTCCTGCCTTGATAGCTCAAGACTGTTCACTTCTATGTTCTTGTTTATCTGTTTACTGATAATTTTGAGAAGTACTGCTTTAAAGCAAAGCACCTTGCTGCTTTTACCAGCTTTTTATTTTCAAAGGACGAATCTTCTGAGGCCCACAGAGCTTCTAGAACTATAGATAGATAGATATTGCTTATGGGGTTTTGTTTCCAAAATAATTAATACATAATCTGACACAAATATTTGTCTCTAGTTAATATTAACTTTGGGGTGAGATTTTTATTATTGTATTGATGCTTTTCTAGCTCAGAACTCAAAAGTTCAGCTTCCAGTTCTTTTAGAGGTGTAGAATGTCTTTGATTTTACAAGATTCCTCAGACATGCTGAGGACAATGCATTTGACACTGTTGAGAGAATTGCAGTACATATTTACAGTAATGAGGTTCTTGTGCTATCAGTTAGGAATTCAGATAGAAAAGTATTTGAGTTTTTTAAAAGTTAATGTGATGGTTGTTGAGTTTAGATTATATCAGATTAATGTATTAGATATGGGTTAGATGACAGTAGGTTTATACAGTGTACATCCTTTTTCTGTGGGGTTACATCACAAGCTGAATATGTTTGAGAATCAAAAGTATTTTGGCATAACACAATTCAATATAACTTTTCATTTCTGTTCTCTTCTATATGGGTATAGGCTGCTATTAATACAAGAGCCAAGGTGGGTGAGGCATATGCAGAAGGCTGTGAATTCCTTATGTCAGGTTAAGGAGGACAGGAGTTCGTGTTATTTTTCTTGTGGATTCTAAGCACTGAAGTTAAGCCCAAAATATTAAAAACCTCATAATGCAAAAATTTGCTTTTTCTCAAAAGCAAGATACCGTTGTTACTTCTGCTTTCTAGAGAAAAATATTTTCTACCTTGTTTATCTCGGTAAATGAGTGCCAAACAACTGTAAAAAACCTAAGAAGTTGTATGTCGAATACTAGTTTATAATAAGAACTTTATCTTTTTTACAGGTCACCATCTGGCTCCAGGACACCCAAAAGATCGAGAAGATCACGATCCAGATCCCCTAAAAAGTCAGGGAAAAAATCCCGGTCTCAGTCCCGTTCTCCTCACAGATCTCACAAGAAATCAAAGAAAAGCAAACACTGACAATGTTTAATATTTTTTATGATGCTGTCACTGGAAATGCAGTTTTGTTTTTGTGCCTGAACAGTCTGTTAAAAAACAAAAAAGCATTCCTGATTTTTTTTTTTGTGAATGCATGTGTATACTCATGAGTATCAGCATCTGTAGACCTGTCATTGTTTTATATTGTACAAAATACCTTCATTCTGGCTATTTCCCAAATGCAACATTTTTGTGTTTAGAAGTTTCATCAGAAATGTGTGTAACTGATCTGCTGGCAGTAGTGATATTTTGTTTTAGAATGTTGTGACATAGCAGAAATAAATGTTCCCCCTTTTTGTAGCTTTGACAAATTGAATTAGATTTCAAATAAAATCTGAACAGAAAAGTAAGATGTTGTTTTCTTGCCCCACTGCTGATACAGATCTCTAGAGGAAGTCATAGTTTGTTTGGAAGTACTGTGTATTTCAGACATACTATGGTACTTAAATCTTTCAGTGTAGTGGTAGCTCTGTTCCTGTTACCGCTAGTTTGACTGTCCAGATCAAAGCACCTTTTGAATCCAGGGGATGGGTTTTCTTTCCTGCCATGATAGTTACGGTCAGAACAGTTGCACAGTGGTACCTACTGTGATAAGCTTTACCAGTAAATCTTTGCTTTGTATCTCTCCATTCTGTTTGCAGGGAGTATCTGTGACAGAGTACTGTTTTTGTTCATTTTTAACAAAGGGCCTCTGCAGAGATGCATCATACATATGACACGTGCATCATACATACATGATGTATGGGTAACAAGCCGTATTTGTGGCAAGCACGGGGAACAGCGAAGGGACAGCAAGCCTGAGCTGGATGACTTCCTCCTTAAGTATAGGTACAATAATTGCAACCTACAGTACACTGTTTTCTGAAACTGATTTTAAGAACAGCTTTTACATTATTTTATTGAATTTGTTCCCTTGTTGTGGAAATTCTCTCAAAATGGGGGTAAAAATATTTTATTACATATTTTATTAATTTTATGTTAGGCTTTCCCTTCTCCAAACCTGTTCCGTGTGTTAGGCATTGATGTGGCTTTAGATCACTTCACCTTGGTCTCTTATGTGACCTCTCTTTGGGTGGGATGTGGGGAGGGTTGAGAAACGAGGAGGGTTCAATGTTTATACTTGGAGGTGTGGGGAGATTGTAATAAAAACATAAAATCAAAAAGGATGTGGCCTCCTGTGAACTGTTTCTAAAAGCAAAAGCTGTACTTACCTACAGGCAGAGTGCCGACTGATGGCCGGCTGTCGTGCTTGTGGGTCTGCAGGTTTTACACTGGTAGGTTTTGTAAGCGTGTCGGGCCAATCTCATGGCGTACGTCTGTATAGCCTGAGAGGCAGCACTTCCGAAGCAGGTTCGGAAACGTCTTTTGAAAAAACGTGTATTTAATTGGAGGGGGTGGAAATCAGAGTGGTTTTTTTCCTCCGATGGAAGACTGTTAAAAGACTCTATAAATTATTAGAGATGTGAGAATTAAGTGGGGAATTGTCTTTGCTAATGAGAGATTATCTGAAATGCTGAAAATACAGAGAATGCATGTGTACTGTAAAGACTTTCTTAGAGTGTTGAATGGATGCATTAATAATCAAATTAATACACCTTGTACATTCTTATATTGCATTATAAAGAATCTGGTTTAGAAATAGCAGAGTTTATCTTTTATATTTTTATTTCTCCTGTAATGTAAGGGGCTTAGATGTAAAGATTTTGGTATCTAAACTATTAGAAACTAAGTTGGTTTTTTTTCTTTTTTTTTAATATGTATTCATACCTGGCACAGACTAGATGAAGTTTTGTAGAGCAAAAAGTAGGTACTAAAATCAGCTGGGGACAGGGAGAATCCCAACTTCATAGTAGGAAGAAGATTGTTTCCAATCCGATTAACTTCTTTAAAACTATTACTTCTATATTGTAGCTGTTTATAAAAGGAGGAGTGATAAACGTTGGTGTTCCAGGGAAAGTGAGACGTAATACAGCTTTCCACTGGACTATTCTATCTGCAGAATCAACTGTGTATGTCATTTAATAGCTAAAAAAAACCTCAGGATGGAAAATCCCTTAGCATTAGAGGTTAACCATACTTATCAGTAATTAATTTTGATTTCAGCTTTTATAAAATTCTCATCAGTGATTACAAAAAGCTCAAGCCAAGTAGCTAGAGAGCTGAAGGAGCACACCCATTAGGCTTTGTTTTGAAACAGCTTTACTATGCAATACCTTTTTTCAATATCTTTATTCTCTAAATACCATTCTCGTACCTTGTGTTCTTTGCTCCAGATCCATGGGCCTTAGAAAAGCTGGTTTGTACGAACAGTTTTTTGAGAGCAATTGAGAATCTGTATCCTTAACTGCATGCCTGTTTTTTCTGCTGTTGAAAACAACATCTTTTGATTCTGCTTACTCTTCATTTTCTTCCCTTCTTTTACAAGTAGTTTTGCTTATAGCTTGGTTTTTCCACGAAGAAAAGCAGGAGTAAGAGAGCATCTGGTAACAAATCTTTTGTAAAAGATGCGGATTAATATTGAGGACTGAAAACCAGGCAGTGTGTGAAACCACTCTGGTGTGGGTCCTGTGGCAGTGGCAAGGCAGAGTTGCAACGTGCCATTGGCATGCAAGTTATGTTTCTGCAGCTTTTTGGACTGAAATGGTGAAAAATCACCTGGTTGATGTAGGATAGTGGTAATTAAATACTGATCCCAGCATTCAGGAGCAAGCATTGAGGTGAGTCTGTGGCAAAAAAACTCTGACTTGAGGTCTGGTGTTCCCACATGGATTTTGTGATTGTATAGGAAGAGACACCCGTTATCCTCAAAGGCCCGATTTGGTGATTGTCTGACCCTTTGCCTTGGGAGGGGGCCTGAGTGGCGAAGGGGCTTTTCTGTTCTCCTGCCCTGCCTTCTGGATGGCCTCAGAGGTAAATGTTCCTGCTGTAGAGCTGAGGTTTATCCAAAGACGAGAAATTGAGCGTAGCTTGCTACAGCCAGTTTCAAGTGTGGCTGAGCACGCCCCCGCAGCCTGAAATCGCAGCTGGTGAGGCCCATCTTGGTGTGGGATCACACTGGTGTGTTCCCAGGCGCGTGCTCGAGGCTGTGCTGGTACGCCTCGGTGGAGCCTGCCCAGTGCTCTACAGGACGCTCGTCGTCGTGCGAAGGCCTTCTCGGTGTGGTGCTCCAAGTTCATCTGGGTTTTCTGAGCCAGCCCCGCGTGCTGTGCATGTCTGAGGCTTGCTCAGGGGTGAGTCTGGCCGTGGGCACTGTCTCCGCAGAGGAAAGCGCCTTGGCATGATCTCCTGACAATTAAAATCTTTCCTTACCAGTGTTATGGAAGTGTTTATGTTTGAGCTGTCTCTTTTAAACTCTGTGACTTCCTTTGGCTTCTCTGCACACCAGCTGCTTTTGTAGTACTATTTGGGGAAGAGTTGGTTTCTGAAAGTCAATGTCAGGTTATTATTTGGGTAGGAGGCACTCTGCATGTGTTCTCCCCTTTGGAGTGCAAGAATAAACCACTGACCAACAAGGGTAACAAATTCTGTTTTCCAAAGCGTATATTTAGAATCGCAACTATCGCTGGCGTGAGTTGGTAGGCCCCAGCGACACCCACCGTACTCCTGCTTTCTGCAAGGCAAGTCCCCTGTGCTCGCAGCAGCTCTGCCCCAGCGCTTGGGAGCCCTTGGAAGTGGCTGGATCCTTGTGTTACTCTGCATGTGAAACTACTGTGCTTTTACAGTTCTGAACTGACCATTATCCCCACTGTTGGGAAAGCTCTCCGATTCATGCTGGGGTTATTTAATAAATTTCTGAGGCAGGTTTTACAGCTGAAACTATGGATTTTATCAGACCCCCCGCTGTGGCATGAGTACTGCCTAAGCCCTCTAGGTTACAGGGCACTGAAATGGGAAGTTGGGTTTTATCCTTAAGGGGGTTCTTTGGGATCAACTGGTGTTTGAGGTGCATTCTTGGAGTGTTAAAAAGAAAATAGTGCTGTCTCCGAACAGGGCCTGCAAGAGGAAGATATCTTGGGGTTCATGGAGCGTGACTTAAAAACCAGAATCTTGTGATGAGAAAAGCAAGACTGGCCAAAAATGACAAATCTGTTCTGAGCACCTTTGATCACTTTAGGCAGCTTGCTTGTGGGTTTTTCCTCCACAGGCATTTACAGTCCTTTGGTGGAATTGGTGCTTTTAACAAATAAAACTGAGGAGCGTTGCACTTCTGCAGATGTATTAAGGTCTGAACTTGGAGTCCTGTTTTGGATTGCTGGCTTGCTGTACGTTCATACAGCTGCTTGAGGAAATCAGAGCAGGACGTTTCTCAGCTGCTGTGGCTCTACACTGAATACTTGCATGAGGACACGTATATCTGGCTGCATTAAGGTACAGGTACTTTTGAAGGATGTTTAAATTGCTGCCTTTTTAGTAAAGATTGGTATACTTTCTATTCATTTTCTTTGTTTGAAAATCTAGATTTTGGGGCAGTTACGGAGGTCCAGGAAGAGAATTGAATTCTCTACAGCTGAAGACAGCAGCAGTGGAATAATCTAGATGAGAATTTCACAGTTCTTTTAAAGTCAACTGTTCAGTATCATGAGGTTCAGTAAATTACAAACCCGATATTAGCAGTCTAACCCTGAAAACTATCTTAGAGCTTACTTTTCTGATTAGGGCTGTTGAGTTCACAAACCCACATTCATAGCAGTATATGAATATTTTTTTTTCCTTATTGCTGCATGAGCTATTCCAAGACTTTGAGCATACTGCTGGTTCATGCTGCTGCTGTAACTGCTGCTCCTCAGTGTGTAAACCACTCTCGTAAGAATTGTAACTGAAATGATGGCTTAATTTTGTCCATGTATATTTTTCCTATGTAGGATGCAGAAATCTCAAACAATTGCATCCAATGTTTTCCTCCACCTGCTCCCATCAGCACACACAGATTTCCCAGGCAAGCCTGTTCCACTTGTCACTTCTGAGCTCTAATCTTGTGCAGGGATGTTTTACTGTGTGACTGTGTCATAAGCTGGAAAGTTTTCTGTTTGTGGTTATTTAAAGAGGAAATAGTAGTTTCACATGATTTGGGTTTTTTTGTCTTACTTGCTTTTGGGTTTGTATTTTATGCAGGAAATTTTCCAAATGACGTACCGACAATAAAATTGTCAGCTTGCCGATATACAGAATCGTTTTATTTTTAACCTGGAAAAGTGTGATGGTCGTGTGCGTTACCTAAGGGCAGTTTCTGGGCCTCACCAGCTCTTCTGCTGGTTGACACTAATTCTGCCTGTGCTGTCGACCTGTAATTGCTGCTGCTGTTCCACTGTCAGCAGTGACCTCTGCTTCTCAGAGACTCATTAACGA